TGGCTGATCCATAAACGAATTCAGGTCTGGGCTATCATTTCTGTTTGCATTCAATCCCAACATAGAACACACGACAAGACTGGGCGTTGCTACTTGTAATTTGAAACCGTATACTTACATATTTAATCTACAAATCTCTGTGCAAAAATATGTGAATAACAAATATAATGAATAAATGGGTAAACGACACCCTCAATAATAAAATACCTCATGCGGCTGCTCGCTAAAGCGGTGTTTTACAAATGACGAATAATGATGTGACTGGGTAGACGTAGGTACTATCGCAGGTTTTATGAATGAATTTATTATAATATAGGCTATTCATTGTGTATTTAAAGAGAGAGAGGTGATGATTCCATTATTAAAAAAATAGTGTCAACGTGATTACTATTTTCTAGATCATGTTGTCCAAACTATCTGAGATTTGATGTGTCCGGGCAGCTTTGTTACTTCAAATAATGTAATACATAAAAATCATTTTTTGTATGATTTGGATATTTCACGACTTCCAATGAAATAATCATTCAAAAGGTAAGGTTTTTATACAAGTGAATAGAAATAAAGTGCGTCTCTGCGTGGATTTTCCTTACAGACTCGCACCATTAGTATTGGAGACCCCTTGCAAGCAATCGACATTTTTTTTACTTTAGAGGTATAAAAAAAGTGACCGATCATTGTGTTGGGATAAGACCGTAAATGTTTTACAGTCACCCATAGAAACAACACCAGAGCAAGTTTAAATGAGACGCTTTGCGACGACGAAATGCTCGTAATAGCATATTCGAGCTGTTCTAGTTACGTGACAATCATAGTCTAAAATCCAATTTTAAATCTACATAACTAAACATATTTTTCAGTTTAATTGTACTTTTCTCTTTAGTCGAATCTTCGGGTCACACTTTACTACGCGTCCACGTGTGCTCGTGAGTTCATGAAACAATTATAACCATTACCAGTATGCAATAACTAACATATATCCATTAAGTGATATAAGTCAATAGTCAGGTCTAGATTGAGTCTAGATTGTAATGGTCATAAGACATTTCCCTCCGAAAATAATAAACAATGAAATACCTACCTACTATTTGCCTCATGGATAATCTAATGATGTAATGGACAAAAAATCTTACCTATTCATCCATTAGAATTATCACATTGGTACGTACATGTTACGTATACCCGTGCATAAAAGAAGCTTAATTCAATAAAAAGTATACTACCTATCACAGTAAAGCTATTGTAACGCCTACTTAAAAGGTGGACACCAATTTTTAAAACTGATAGTGCTTAATAACAATACTTTAGATGTTATAATAAGACAAGCAGACAAGGAATAAACGTGGCAGCTTTATCTAACTCAACGCTTATGAAATTCTAAGTAGAAAAAGATGGTCGACTCACAAAAAACTGAGACGATTCGTCCGTCCAACCCTTTTATTCTGTTTGGCCGTTCTCTTTTTACTTTTATTCTAAAAATATAGCATTCACGAACCAATTTCGAAAGGAAACGTGATTCTGTTCAAGGTCGGGTAAATTAGTATTCGTATGGTGTGTTCGTTGCTTTACCGACCGCAAAAACATGTTAATATACTCGTTGCGGACTTTTTTCTAAGCTTTAATTAGAATTGGTGGCAACCGGTTGGCTGCTCGCGGTACTTAAATAATATTACATAACAAAAGCTTTAAAAACACAAAGAGGTTACGATTAGATCAGCTGTATGAGTAGGTTTGTTACCTGCCTATTCTTTTTTGTGGGAACAATTAGATAAATTGGGCTAAAGAAGATGAAACTGTGTTTATTACCTTTTTAAATATAAATGTTTAAACCAGAAAGTGTTTTCGACTGGATTGAAGTTTAGCCGCGAGAACCCGGAACTCCTGTTCCTGAGACTTGGGAAACGGGGATCGTGGTCCTGTTCCGAAAGTTCTGGTATTAAATCGCAGAATAACCTAATTCCATCTCGCCCTTAGCTGGATTAATTAATTAAAAAATATACCTCCAACTACTATTAATGTTAAATTTTGTTAAAGTTTGCAGTCCTACTATTTAAATGATTCGGGATAGTGCATTTTCTGACAAATTGAATTTAAAGGTGAATGTGACCAAAAAAACTATTATTAATGTAATTAAAAGGGCTTAAATGAAAGTTGGTCCATATTAAAAAGGAAAAATATGTCAAACAATATTACTGAAATTTGAATTGAAAAAAGTATTTTCAGATTATTTACCTTTTTTTGGCGAATGTAATTAAAATAAAACAAGACTATACCGTTTTGTGACACTGTGTCACCTTTTAGAATTCTGACTTTTTATTTCATGTTTACAATCCCGTGATGATTTTACAACCATTCAGAAATCCCGGTATTAGTAAATTAGTAAAATGTGTCGGAATCAAACTCTAAATTTAAAATAAAAATAATGAAAATAAAAATACATTCTATGGCTGCAAAGATAGCACGGGCTTTTTGATTCGCTAGTAGCTTTTTGACCGCACGCGCAGGTAAGTCTGACAAACTCATAATAATAAAAGCATAATAGTAATTTATAAAAGTATGTTTAATATATATATTATGAATAGTAACTATTACTTCGTGTAAACTTTGAAAATCCTAAAATATTCGTTTACCAACAGGTAGGTAAAAAAATATATATTCTATTCTAAGATGATGAATACTGCATTTTGTACCCACATCCGAGATGCATTTATAAAGGTTTTCGTTCTCGGTTTACAAAAAAAATAATCGTCCATTCCGCGTGTCTGCATTAGCAGGCCGATGTGTAGAGACGAGGTATACATATGTATATGCGTAGTTAGCTTCAGGCGCAGTTTGAATTGGATCCCTCACGTTGACTAACGAACGCACTTTTATCAAAACACTTATCGATGAGTATCTTTAGAAACCCAAAAGAATGTGAAAAACAAGACAACCATTATAGATGGTGATTACGAAATCAAACCGAAACCATAGAATTACCAAATAATAAAGCATCGGTTTCTCAAGAAAAATCATCAGAATGTTTCAAGTCATTTAAAGAATACCAATCAAAACGCCTTATTGCATATTGCAATGACCCCAAAATAAATGTGCGAGAAGAAGATTATGATTGTGATTATAGGTGATGATATTTTGTAAACGTTATTTTTTGTTTAAAATATGTTACGCCAATTTCATAAGGTACATTTTTATGTTTCAAAACCAATATTTTGTTTAGTTTTTATGTGACGGGCATGTTGGTCTACTTAGGCCTGGCTGCTAAGCTAGAGCCCGTGGGTTCGGTGGAACCGAACCCACGGGCTCTAGCTTAGCACCCAAGGCAAATATTGTGAGATTGGTCGATCATTTGGTCTAGATGTAGTTTATATATACATAATACATGTGTATGTATTTACAAATATGTGTGTGACCATAGTACAAGCACAGCCTACTTTAGGATCAGATGGCCATCTTTGAGATTTGTCAAGTTATTATTGTTTTTTTGTTGTACAATGTCAAACGGTGAAATCCCTCATTCAGTTGCACTGTTGTAAAATCACCACAAGAAAAAGATAATTCCACATTTTCACGAAATACTTATACAAATAAGAATACGGAGTGTCACCACACCTATTCATACCGTGGGTGTAGTGAGAGCCGCCTTAGGGAGTAAATTACGGAGGACAATAGCACTGCAAAGAGAAGGAAAACTTGAAACAAACCCTATATCAACCCGTCTGGCCAGCGTGTTATAGTAGGGCAAAACCTCCTTTCTAAGGAGAGGCTTATGTCCAGCAGTGGACTTTTAAGGGCTGTTGATGATGATGGTGACCCATTTTTACGTTTCGGTTATTAATTACTGGCTATAGCAGAGATAAGTAGTGTTAACTTCGCAATTTCCAGTCCTAAATAGTTGCATTAAGTTTCTAGTAATTTAAAGTTTTTATTAATTGTTTAGCAATTAAAGCAAAATGTCGGGACAACTAGGAAATTAATAAAATAGAATAGAATAGACTAGACCACCAAATACCAAGTAACCCAAAATATTTTTGGTTTTTCCTACTGCGTACAACGTATAGTTTTAGTAATTAGAGATACGGGAATATGTAGGGATTAAGTAAGTCATCCAAAATTGAAATGTGATGATTCCTAAAGTGTTTATTTAAAACCTAATAATCCCAACGTTCAAATTATAGGTAAATTTTAGCAAAATAAAATAGCGATCAACCAGCAATACAACAACTAACAAAGAAAAATATGAACCGCTGCCTGTCCTTGCTCACCGCATCCATATGTATGTTAAATTATACGTCCGCGTCATTGCATTTGATCGATGCCTACAAAAAACTTTTGGATGGAGCGGGCGCTAAAACTGTGTTATGAACAATGAAAAAATATATTTGGAGCTCATATCTTTTTGACAGATAGTTGAGCAACTTCTCGCGAATACTTCAGCTTAAAATCTTGGAGAACGAATGTCATGTCTAGTAGTCGTAATGGTCAATTACAACTACATTAGTGAAGTGGACTCGACATAAATGTTGTATTTTATTCCCTGGCTGCGCTCAGTAATATAAGCTTCGCTATTATAACTAAGCTAAACTCGCTGTTCTCATTACTCGCTCATGATGCGAAGAGTCTATGAAGAGACAGTACTGTTATTGTTATTGTCGTGCGGCGTGATGTAAAATAGAAGCCGGCTTTTAAGTCATATAACCTCAAAAGCTTGGGGCTGTCGGGCAGCCGTACGACAAGGGGAGCGCGCAGCCGCTCAATGTTGTCGCGCCTGCGCCCCTCGTGCCTACTCGCCATCGAAGAGACGACAACGCTGCATAAAGCGCGAGTATTCGCGATGTCTCGTACCGACTCTGCTACACGTTAATGACTAGCAAAATCGTGACACCCACTCACCACGATTTCCTTTAACCAAAGTGAAAATACGAGCATGTGATAAGATTTAGTGTTAATACGAAACGTTACGGTAGTGTTTCTTTTTGTGATAACTTAGTAGCGGCATCATCAAAATGTACAAGACAGTGCGACATGGCGAGAACAGTCTTCAATACACTATCCTCCCGCAAACGGAGGAAGTGTTGAACAATAGCGGCTTGAAAGGAAAAGGACGGGATTACAGCCCGTCGATTCACGTGCGACGATCACGTAGAAAATCCACTGTTAAATATATATTACTCATAATATTTGGCGTAATTGTAACGCTCGGTTTAGCTTCTGTTCCACTTTACATTATGAATGGAGCACTGTTAGCACGTAGGAATCAACTAAACCATCATGAAGTTATTACTACGGCACCGCTGGCACCAGCTGCTCGAGAAATGGCTAAATCTAGGAAAAAGGAATTAAAAATGTCGCCTGAAGTTGTTGCCACTCTAGGCCAGAGACCTGAAACGAGTACTATTTCGATTGCGACTACTAAAACTACGGTAACAGTGCCATCGACAGTTACTGGTGAAAGAGCGACTACACCACCATGGACTATGCCAGCTTTACGTTCGTGGAAAAGTTCTACTTCTTCTACAGCTATTCCACCAATACCTACGGAAGATAATGCCATTCCTCTTATTGCCACTCAGCCGAATAATAATGATCGTGTGGCTGATCATGATTTATCACTTAAATCTTGGGAGAAAGATATTATCATTCGTGCTACGGTTACCCCAGAAACCAGTACTCTTCGTAATGTATTGAGATATTATTCACGATCACACGTTTCATCAGAAAAATCTATTGTAGCAAACACCAAAGCGTTTGACGACGTTCTAATTACTACCAAACCAACAACAAAGAAATTGCCGGTGACCACGGATCTTTCTACAACCTTCGAAAGTTATAAATTGAAAGATTTGAAAGATGCAATGTTGTCAGTAGATGATGATGATGAATTTAAAGAGTCTCTGGAAGTCGATGAAGTATTTTCTTTGCCTCCGTTGAAGCCTGATTATGCGGCTCCAGGTACTGACTCCGATGAAGTAACGGTGTCGAAGGCCGGTGATGGCGGATGGTACGGCGCGCGTTGGCCATTTGTAGACACGTCATCTTATTTCCAATGGACGGTGCGTACTGTATTGTTAACTATCTTATGTAATGTTTACTTACAACGCATTTACTCTATCATAACACTTGTGCGTGCAGCACATACCTAACTAATCGTAACGATCTTGGGTAACAGTGTGTGGTACGCTGTGTAACACACAACGTAATATATATAAGCGGACATGGAAACCTTTTATATTTGAAATCGATTACCAATGAAGTAGATACCTCTGTAATGTGAAACTGATTATTCAGAATCGAGATTCCTTAATAAAACTCAACGTCTTGAAAGTCATAACAAAGTCACTCAAATGTGTAAGTACTCGTAATTGGACAACTTTTGTCTTCTAACACTGAAATAACCGAAATAAGATTTTACGTAATCAAAACCTAGTAATTACTATGTCGGTTATAACCCTGAGTTAAATATTATTTTGCCGCCTCTGTTGCATTAGCCTCGTCAAATAAGGGTTTTTCTACGCTTAAATAATTGTAGCTTTGTTATCTAATAGTAGAAAATTGGTATAGCTCTGTCTTAGTAAGGAAGAACTCTAATATACTCGACGGTCAATGTCAGAGTATTGATTGGCAGTGATCATTTTTTTTTTTTCTGCAATGCAATTCTTAAAAGGACCTAGTTCCTACCTACTTGAGACCTTGATCAATGTTTTAATATTAGCTTTGAGTTAAACCGCTAATAGACATCATAAAAGCTAGATTATTTTTATACTACGTATGTAAAATAAGCATCATATGCTTTTGAGGTTCTTATTGAGGTTATATTAGGTAAGTAAAAATAGGTAATAAAATTGGACCGTCACTAATATTTAAGCAATCTGTGCCGTCACGTTGTAAATTTGAATTAAATAAAAACTTATGTCTAACAAGTTTCGTCATGGCAACAGACTGGTGTGCAATTCGAACTATTAATTGTTGTTTTATATTGCATTGTATTGTAACGAATTGCGAAAACACATTTTAATTTTCAGTATCCTACATAGTCGATCCTTTAGTCATATAGGTGCAGCCTATTAATATGTGTCAAGACTGTCAAAAGACAATGATGGCTTCCTGGAGTTTCTAAAAAACAAAAGACGTATTCTAGTATTCTACGTGATAACAGTATCGATCGCTTCTTGGTTACCGCATGCAGCGAATATGTAGGTCCGGAGGATTACCCGACGAAAACGTTTTTTGGGTTTTAAAATATTTTTCTACATTTAAAACAACAAATGTGAATTATAACAATAATAAAACATAATTATTTGAATTTGTTTTAACACAGCCGTCCAAACTTAAATTAGACAGCGCTTATTAACTTGCCTACCTACTATTAAACCTGCTTATATATTACGAAATACTTGTATATCATAGCTAAATTATACCCAGACATAGAACAAATGCTTGTGCTTATCAAACAATTACTTTTCCTGGTTGAGAATCGAATCTACGAACTCAGGTTCAGCAATCAGGATTACTAGCACCTAGACTGGCAGGGCGGACAAAGACCGAACTAAGTACTTGTTAACATTGTACCTACGTAACAAGCATGCTTACTTCTAATTGGTTCGATATCGTTGTAGGTATAAATCGATAGACAAAGGCAGTTCACTGCCTCATTGGGTACGTTACTTATGACCTAACAAGTCTGTCTATTGAATGTCTATGAACTGTCTGGTCGTCATCGAATTTAAGATTACCTTTTTTAACATATTTCTTTCAAAATCAGTCTTTCAAATCCTTTTCATCGCGTTCATTGTTACACACTTTTCCCTTTGTACGAAGTTAAATACATAGACAGCAATATGTATTGTATACATGCACCGCTTTGAAAGATCTTTGAAGCAAAGATCAACGTTCAACCTTTTGATAAAACATAATTTCCGCTACACAAGAAATATGTTTACTAGATCGACACTTTTATGTGAAGATATCTCAGGTACGATAAAGGATACGATCAGAAAGGTGTTATGTCTACCTATGTGTTACTTTTTTATATAATATTACATATTATCCTTGACTACTATCGTCTACTACTGCAGGTTTAAAAATGTTTTGAAAGAGGTATTACTTACACTATAAAATACGGCGATAGAAAATCTATCCTGTCAAATATATCTCATAAAGAAGTAGAACATAATAATATGGAAGATGATAACATAATACGATACGAATGTACGATATCGTTCAGTCCATAATTTCAAATAAATTAAGAAATATGTAAAACTTGAACTTGAAAAATATATATTTTTTCGATTTTTAAGCCTGCTCTAATTGGGTGGATTTGCATAGCAAACTTCAGACCTTTGTGCAAAACATTGTGAACACAATTAAAAGAACTCGTAGGTCTTTAAACTCATTATATTTTTCTACACGGTTCACATTTCTAATTCGTTCGTGAACTTCAAAAACAGAAAAAGATGGCAGAGACCGAGAACCGAACTCAAACTATCGTCAAAAGACGCCAAAATTAATTAGCGGCGTAACGTAAACGTAATGTAACCTAACTCAGCATAATAATCATGCCCCATTGCCGACTTCTCAGTTATCACTGCTAAACTATAAAAAGTTACATCATCGTAAAACAAATAATATTATTACCATAGAAATCATTACAATCCTACGTGACATTTATCTTATGAGTAGTTAGATCACTTTTCCTGACTACCTAACCTAATCATAAATACATTATATATCGTTAGAAAAGCCATGAATAGTGATAGTAATGCCTATTTTTTCTTTAAAAAGATCCAAGGATGGTTATAATTATATTGAAATGATACTGGAAAAATAAGTAGGTACCTACCTGAATATGTTATGGTTTATAATATTTGTTCTTTATACAGGGCTACTCCCCGGGTGACAACCTACTGCTGCCATTATTGGTGGCCGCCTTATCTTCAATCGCTCTTGTCCTGCTGCTGGCGCTTGCAGTTCGCCGCCGAAAGCGCACGCATTCTGCTTCCGCACAGATTGGGGTACGGTTACAACTGTATATCTATTAGTATTTGTTGTTGATTACTTGAAAGGAGAATTGTCTTGACAGCTATAAATTCACCGTCCTCCACTTATCACAATCTATGAAAAACATTGAAAATCTTTAGTTTTATGTAGACAAAACACTAAATCAACGAGGTTTTAATATGTAGAAATCTATATAGGTACTATTGTTTATTATATGTCATTGATAAATATAATTATTCTAATTATTGGATTTACTATGATCTTAAAGGTAGGTATGCTACAATATTACAGAATTTCGATCAACAGTCAAGATTTGAAGTGCAAATATCGGAAAAAGAACTAGGTGCGGATAGAATATGCTTATTGAATAAATTCACGCTACAATCTACATAACAGCGTGTTTTTTTTATGCGTATGAATTATTCAAAAACATCAACGTGCCGTATGCGACAGAAGCCAATCCCTATGCAGAAATTGCCGGCGAAACAATCAGTCTACGACACGTTTGTTGTTCGACAGGCAACGCATAATCGCGGAACATTTGTTTCAGAAGTTAACCGCCGATCTACAAGCTGACGACAACACTAATCTGTTGACGGCCGAAAACGCTGAAGATGCCGATGAGTGAGCCGATCCGTCAGGCATGCTTTTAGCTTGTTCAGCAGTCCATAAGGATGCCTCGTGTACAACTCGGGTACATATCCAAAAATATTATAACTACACACTCATCTACAATATTAGTAAGTCTACTTCTTTATGGGTTAAGATTAAATAAATAAAACGTTTTATTTGATAATTAAAAGTACATATTTTAACGCATTATATTGTAAATGCAATTTGCTAAATTAGCAGTCCAGCGTGGTGTAATACTAAAAGCAAGCCTTGGAGGTACCAATCTCATTCAGTTACAAATATATGGCATAGGTCAAGTTGTACCATTTAATGCGATCAAATTAATAATTTGGATCAAAGTAATAATTGGGGTATACGATACCAAGAGTAATTAATTACCTATTGTATTGGTACTTAACTGTTTTCTTACGGAATGGTATGCACAGAACATTCAATTTTATTGCTTATGTGTATAACAAATAATCATTTAGCATCATCCATTGACAATGAGTAGAGGTGCTGTGCACGCGTCCTTGTCACTTCGGTTGTACATCAGGCATTCACGCACTTTGCCATGATTTAGCTGCCATAGCGTAATTCTCAAGTTGCATAGGAGACCTGCCTGTGTTCGTCTTCTAACACACTGATCATACTTCAAACTTTCAGTGCCTATTGTTTGTATGTAACATGCGGCTCGTTTGGTCTATGGACCAGCGAAGGCCGAGAAGTGGATTCCATGTTCAGAGATACGATATAATATGTAAGTATATTTTGTAAACGCATTAGATATTTGAATGAATGTAAATTAGGTACATAGGTACGTGTCAAATGCCAAAATCGCTAAAATTATTTTTGTTACAATTTAATCTACATGGTATGTAAAGGTAATAAATGATCATTTTAGATATTAATAGTGTCCTCATGAGCTTGCTAGTACATAACTGAACTGTGGAGGCATTCTGACATTCCGTTCATTCATTATTAATAAATGTAGATACGTTGTAACGGTCGCTAACAGTCAAGTCAATGTTATTTACGCTATCAGAATAATCTTTATCAAACGGCAGTACTGTCTCCGGCGTACACTGCGTTCTGTACTTATACAACTAAATACACATCGGTGGCATGCTATCAAATAAGAATAAACTGTAGGGATTGTCGCAACTTTACACGCGATTCATGGCCAACGTTCGTCTATGTATATCATATCTCTGAAGTTTCGATTGTATGACTCGTCAGTATTAACAAACCCTGTGGTAAATATATAAATGATAAGCATACGCAGTTATTTTGTGTAGATCGTTAGAGTAAGATGAAAATATCGATCTTTGTGTTATAGTTATAACCTGACGAAAAAAAATAACCTTGGTATAGAAATCTGACAAACAGAGCTTAGTCGGATATAAGGTACCTTAGTCAGGTTATAGAGATAATGATTATGTGTTTTAATATTTCTCTTCATTACTATACATTTCAACTATTTAACTTACGTCTCAATTGAGTATAATTAATTAACTAATTATCAATAATTTTTTTTAAATGTAGTTATAAGACTGACATATAATTGATTTCTTAGAATAGTACCTAAGTTTTATTTATATAACATGTAATCTGTTAAAAACTTATTTTAAAACGGCACTATCTTTTCAATTTGTGTGAAGTTTCGTGCAACAAAATATGTATAAGCCTTTTTGCGTATTACACTCAGTGTTAGGTGTATAGTATGAATTTATGACTGTACAATCAATATATGAGGAGAGGGGAGAGTGTTAGTTAGAAATTAAAATGTGATACCTCCGTAGTATCTTTTGACGTGTTGTTCCCCTGTAGAAGGAATTGTAAGGCTGCCTATGCACGACGCGATTTATACTAGAAATATCGCTTCGTGTGTACGACGTCTAAATTGAAGATTGTATATTATTTATGTAAATCAATATAATTGACGGCAATATTTTATATCATGCAAGACATCGCACATTATATATCAATAGTATTTGTGTTCCTATTAGCTTTTATGTTAGAATAGTTTTATTAAGTGAATGCCATGAGCAGTGTGATTATTTTGTATTTGCTGAGAACACTCACACCATGTACATAAGTAATGAAATAAATTGTTTTCCCACCTGATTATGGACTTTGTTTGTACGTAGCTACTGAACTTGTGCAGTTTAATTATGGCGTGTCCATAGACATACTTACCATTGACGTACGATTGTAATTATTGTACATTATAATTAATTCTAAAAACAACAATAGTTACAAACCCAAAGCAATAACCGAGTGGATAATAAAGATAGAGAAATATTTTGAAAGGCGATGCGAAGACGCTTCCTTATATTTGGATGAGAATGGATCAGAATAAATCATCCGGTCGCGATAGACTTACTTGAAAGTGCTTCCATCTTCCATTCGACAAAACACCAGGCATTAACAAACTTTTAGTGTTTCCTGGTGAGTAGAATCGGCAGGGCTATATTAATTTGGGAAAGAAAAAGCCAGGAGCAGAATCAGTAGTATCACCCAGTATAACAATTATTAAAGCGGTAATTTTATACGAAAGGACCCATAATCAAATGATTATATGATACTCACCTTCACACCTTCGAGACGCAGGAGCCAAAAGTATATATGTGACGTTTCCTTTAAAAACCATCTCGGCCAGCCTCAGACTCCCTACTCTGGGAACCAAAAACCGGGCCCTATCCCGGGGCCGGGTTACTAAGTAACATAATATAGTTACGAACTTAATGATGTCAAAATATTTGATTATACAAATCATTTAATTTAAATGATTTAATTAAAAATTACCTTGATCAATTTTGACAATTCAAATAAAATTATTGTAATATTGCGATTATGCACTCGGTTATATATCATCTGTATCTTAGTTCTATAGGTAAAAGTATTGCGCAAAAAGATAAAAATGACGTCCTGTAACATACATGTTTTATTTATAAATAGGGCAATAGTTTTCAGGAGTTTTCCTCTACAGTCGATTCTTAGAAAAACGTTGAACGGTATATCTATAAATGCGACATTATAGATAGTTTTGATTATTACATTTAAGTCCTTTTTCCTTTAGACAATAATATAATCAAACCGAGTAAGCATTAAACAAGTTTCTGAAAAATTTATTTGTACATTACTATTGCTTAACGACTAATATAGTTCCGGGAAAGTTGAATAGGACATCAATTTTCTTTCATCAACTGGCAGAGGCACGGCCTCTTAGAAAACCAGTGTTGTTTCGTTGATTTTCCGAAAAGACCGAATGTATGAGTTTCCGGAGACCTCACCCTTCTCCAGATACAGGGTCAGAAAGCACCCAAAGGACGGCAACGCATTTATCCCTGAAGAAGCAGGTACCCATAGGCAGCGGTTACCTGATGGTATAGAGCCATGCGGTTACCTGGTAATAGTTACCAGTGACATAAAAACAATAACTATAACTGCAATCTATCGTAAGGTAAGTACCTAGGCTACCTCCGACTTTACAAGCTCTAGATATCGAGATATTTGTAGTGTATAGTTGCACTTATGAAGTATTGAAATAGTAACGAATGCACTGCACCTACCGTGGGATGCTTCTGCAGGAAGGACTGAGGCAGGTTTTATAAACAGTAAACGGTTTCGGTAACGCTAAGTTTTTTCCCTACATAAGAGGGAAAATTTTCAGCGCAAAGAAACAATAAGCAAGAACTGGTAATGAGTACTTAAGAGCTCTAAACTGTGTTCTTCATTCAAAAGCATTTTGTGATTAACGTTACACAAACAAGTAGCAACGTATGAGAATGGTGTTCTTGAACAAAAAAAAATACAAACGTAACAAATCAACGTACTGAACATACCTAATATGGAAATAGGTTGTTTATGGTGTCGTAAGTATCTTTTTACATTTTAGTTTACATGTTATAATGACTATCAAGACCCTATAGTATATTAACGTATAATCAATAAAACAAAACGTATTTTTATATATATAGATATATTTTTTTAATTTGTTATCTAACAGTGAAAAACTGTGCAATATGAACCTAAGAGTTATATTTAAACTATAGCGTACATCTTAAATTGCTTTTCTGATATTATAAACAAGTTTCACTCGTGAGAGCAATTGACTGTTACAAACTAAAGGGATTAAACACGATTATTTACATATAACAACGTAATATTAAACCAAATCTCAATAACAATAACCAAAAGATCTTAAAAACGTGCAGTATATCTGCTTTTTCTGCACCTGTCAGAGCCACCTATGTGTATTTCTCCGAACTACCATACTTACACCTATTATACATGTTTAGGATAATACAAAAACTGTATAGCAAGTCCAGATGTTCCAATTAATACATAAAAGTTAAGGATTCAAAGGCAATTGTGAAATTATTCTAGATAGTGTAGAAAACGTTATCTATTGTCCCGCTTATTGAAACCTTGACACAACCGTTAACTTTAGTGGCATTTATATACATATCGTAAATAAAAATGATCATAACAAGATTATAATCGAACGATTACATTATTTATTCCCCTTCTACATCTATTTGTTAAACTGTACACAATACCTTACTACCGTTGGTTTTAAATCTAAAGGTCGAGATAAACTCAATGATGCATCTTTACGATTGTCAAAAAATAAATAGCTAATCAATATACTTTTAAATCTTTTAAACATTTACAACTTATAGCGCCTGATCATAAGAACTGGCTTTGTACCCTCATAAGGAAACTAATAATAAATCATTTCATACGTTATTCTAAACCATTCTCGATAGGTAACAAATTACCAAGTATTCTTTAAAATAGGATTGAGACAATAATAAGTGATGTGTTTCAACAGACAATCATTAGAAATATCAGACAGTGTATATAACCTATATTTACATATACATTTTTTTTGTATTTCTTTAAAATATAAAAGTAAATACCTCTATCATCGTCAGTAAAACGTCAATGTATGTAGTATTGTGAACAAATGTACAATATAAAATCATTAATTTCAGTGAACTTCCTCTGAATGTTCCAATGATATTTTTATACAAATATGGCAATACATATATTAATATCTATTGAGGTGGATGCGATGGTCGCAATATTCTGGCTAGTACGTGACGTCCTCCAACAAGTTTCAGCTGTTGACCGTCCATTAGCACGCTTCGGACGCCGCTAGATGTCGGGGTTGTGGAACTTGACGTCGCCTGAAATATTATAAATACAAATATTATACACCGCAAAACAGTAATACTGAACTAAATACTGTATTGGCGAATATAGTGGGGTGCAGATCAAGAATACCCCCTTTATCTACCCTTTGAAAGTCGTATAAGTCACAAAAACTAGAACAGCGTCTATCGCGAAACAGCAACAGCTAACACTGCGGTCGCCAACACGATTGCCAAGCGTGACGAATTTAAATCCAAGTGTACTTTTAATAGTGTTATTACATTTTATAAGTAATTACTTCAAACGAAACTTAAATTTAATCATGAGTTTTGGTAGTAGTGCTTTATACGGCTTGTATTAGTATCTTCTTATCAGACAAGATGACAATGGTTCGAAACGTTATGTGTATCAATACAAAACACTCACAATGTAATGGACAGAGCTTAATGAAGCCTTTTAATGACCCCTTCATATAAATATATTTTTATAATAACATTTGTATCTAGTGTTTTAGAAAGTATTATAAAACAATAAAGGTGTAAGCTATTCTGTAATTATTTAAGATATAGAGATTCCCACCCACATCCTAGGAAGTTGCATACCTTTTTTTTGGTGACACGGTGTTAAATCCCTTAGGCTTAACTGACAAATGCCTCAAGCCAATTAAATACTTAATTAAATTGTTACCTTATCCTGAGGATCGTTCAAAATTAATGCTGATAATACAATAAAATAACAGCATAAGAAGTTATGTATAATAAAAACATTACGAATCATTCTTTAGAAGGCAAAACCAATCCTCAAGATAGTGACAAAAAATTCAACTAAACCAGATTAAGATCAAATGATTAGGGGTTAATACCTCGTGATATCTCGTCACCTACTACCACCATTTTGTTATCTACGCTTTGTGTTATTAGGTTACATGGTTTCAATAGCAAGTGCTTGTATTGTAACTAAAGCATACACTTGATAAAGTGAATTAGGTATGATTTGTAAATGCGTGTTACACTCTGTTGCTACGAACAAAACTATTTCATTGTCACTACATCCTGTTCCAACAATAGAATAATTCTTTTACATCTCAGTAAGGCCAGGTAGACTAGATTATAAAGTTAATAACTTTCTTAGCTTTTAATTACTAATCAGTTTTAAAAACTTTGATATACTAGTTATACTTACTCCAACCATAATAACTTGACAAACTTTTATTTTATGTATATCAATTTTTAAGTTAATATCAGTTATTTAGCAATGGGTCTTTAAATACTCATACACGATTGTCATAGAGTAGAGAAATAAGAATTTATCCACTTAATAATACATGGGGCACACTGAAAGTTTCTTGTCGCTATCAAAATGAATTTAACTCGTGAACATTTTCGTTTAATGATTTTTCATGATTTTTGTTGTGGCTTAAGTCAACAAGAGACTTAAATGCCAGAGTTGCCAGAGACTTCAATCGGCATTTGGTGATGAAGCACCATGTCGTAGCTCTGTATATTCGTGGTTTGGAGAATTCAGCCGTGGACGTGATCATCTCCATGACGAGATACGTTAAGGTCGGCCGGCGACTGCGGTTACAGACTAATATTGACACCGTATGACAACTCAATGAAACTGACAAAAAAAATTACTTGCCAGCAAATTCGTGCTTTGTTAGGCATTGGAATGAGCCAAGTGCATAACATTTTTTACATGTGCATCTGAAGGTTTGGAAGCTTTGCACTCGATGGATACCGCATGACTAACGGAGGATCAGAAACGACTGCGTGTCCAGTGGTGCCATAAAATGATAAAAAAGTATAACGGAGGACAGTCATTGGCTGTCTATAATATCGTGACAGGCGACGAAACCTGGGTGTACTGCTTTGAACCCGAAAAATTCAGTCAGCAGTGTGGGTCTTTCCTTATGAAGATTTGCCTACGACAGTTAAGAAAAGTCGAAGCGTTGGTCAAAACTTGTTGCTTCTTTTTTCGGAAAATCAGGATTTTACACTACAGAATCGCTTGCAGATCAAAGGACAGTGACTGCAGATTGGTACGTCAATACTTGCTTGCCCAGAGTCTTAGAAAAAGTTCGTGAAAACGTCCTCGAAGCAATGTCCTCCTTCTTTACGATGACGCATCCTCACATTCCGCTAAGGTAACAGAAGCCTATTTGAAGGCTTCAAATGTGGAACTTACATCCTGGACCTTGCACTCTGCGACTTCTTTTTGTTTCCAAAAATATAAGACAAACTTAGAGACACACGTTTTACGAGCCCTGAATCGGCGGTGAATGCGTTTTATGAAGCCATTGAAGAAATCCCTAAGGAAGACTGGTCCAACTGCTTTGGACAGTGGTTTCAGCGAATTTAAAAATGCATTAATTGCGAAAGAATATACTTTGAAAAACAATAAATATATCGTAAGTCCTATATCTAGTCTTATTCATCAGAATCCAGAAACTTTCAGTATGCCCTAAGTACAACTTAGTAAATATTAAGAGAAAACTAAGTAAACTACTAACACTACGTATTTTATAATTAACACTATTTTTACTTTTTTTAAGTAACTAAACTTTCGCGAGCATTTTATTCTGAAAATAAATCTCATCCAGTAGACGTTGGCCTTTTAGTGAACCGTTAAACTTTAAAAATATAATAGTTATTGTTATAACGAGAAGTAATAATATTATAATTAGTTTCGTCAGAAGCGTAACAGAAAAGTTTGTACCAACAGCTTCCACATCACAATTGTTCATCAGACATGCAGTCAATTCATTTCCTCATGCAATTTTCCTACACTACTTTGCTGATATAACTCTGTTATAGAAGCGATTGCTTCAACACATGCATACTGTCAAGAATCACCTGCTGAATTTTAATCCCTTGCGCGAGCTTAACCTGTTGTATCGGATTCACCTAAAATAATGATAAACGGTTTATGATAGTATATTCACTTTTAAATAAGTTAATAAAATAAAGAACAAAAAAATTTTTTTTTTTATATTTTAAAATAATTCCATTTTAGTACCTGTTGTAATTTTAAAACTGGCGCTGATGTCGTGGACGTCGTGACGTTATGTGCACCTACGGAAATATAAAGTAAGTAAGATATTTCATCGTTCAGTGAAACTATAATCACGGTAGAAAACTAGAAGAGTTACCTAAAACTAAAGTCTGCGAAGTGTTGGCCGCACCGCTCGACGTCACGCGAATCGTGTTACCGTCGTTTTGCTGTAAAAACAGAATATCGTTAACGGACAAATCTTTCGCTTTCATAACAAAAATACTAAAATTATGTTGTTACTTTAAACATATAATATACGGTCACCTGAGCCTATACTAAAGTAACCGGACCGCTGACAAATATAAATCCATATCGTATCACAGTTCGTGCACGAAATCTGTCTGTTAGTGTCGTGGTCGTTGTGGCACGCACCTGCAGTATAATGTTGTGCAGCGGCTTGGCGGAGGTGAGCAGCAGCGGCCGCGCGGGCGCCAGCACGCGGACGGCAGCGCGCGCGCGCACCCCGCCCGCGCCCGTCACACCCCCCGCGCCGCCCGCCACCTGCAGCGTGCGCCCGTCCAGGGAGATCATCTGCGCCTGCACAGATACCACCTTCGTCGGTAACGGTCACAATGCCTACTTACACTACGATCCGAATGCGAATTGTGCACGATTTAAAAAAAAATCTACTAGAATAGAATTCCAAATTGTTGGTGGAATACAATGTTATACTCTTGTTCAATAGTATTACACACAAAAGGCACTATTTATCTCGCCTATAAACTAGTCGACTCTGTCTAGATATATTAATTGTGCTATTCCTATAGAAGTAACGAGAAAATACAGATAACAGATTATAAAATGTAGCTACTTTCATTTTTTAACGGTCCGTCAACTCTTCGTCGTCAACACTATTCTGCGCAAACACTAAGAGATAATCTATCAACCTACTTTACAGTCTCACAAACGAATTAAAACAAAAGTTTGTCCTAAAATATTATGTAAAAGTAGCCTCTGCCGACGCAGCTACAGTTTCCTAGGTAAATATCCTTTCTAAGGAGAGGCTTATGTCCAGCAGTGGACTATTAAAGGCTGTTGATGATAAATGTTTTTAATTGGCAAGATGTTTATGTATATTTTTTATTTTTGTCTTTTTTCTCCCATTAACTAGACATAAACATGATACAAACTTTGTACTATGGGGGGCCTGGCAATCTGTGTGACAGGGTTCCCTAGTGCAGATGCGAGTCTCCCACAATGGTCTTGAGCAATTACTGTGATAAGCTAGTATTAAGTAATGTTTGTAGAAGAGAAAATAAACTTTATCTTATCTTATTTAACACGACTATTACATCTATACAGGGAAATATATAAGCAAGACTATTTTGGTAACAATATAATAATAATAATAACTTCACACATCACACACACAGCAGTATGATCCCAAACTAGGCAGAGCCTGCGCTATGGTAACCAAACTGCTGATAAACATATTTATATATTTTTAAATTCCTAAATATTATAGATAAATTATACCCATACACAGAACAAATGACTGTGCTCATCACACAATATTTGTCCTGGGTGGGAATCGAGCCCACGACCTTCGGCTTTGCAGTCAGTTTACTTGTAGTTTATAATGAAAGTGACTGTATTGAATGTTACTTAATCGAGTAATTCAATTAAACACGTATTGTTCTGTCTTATCCACTTGTTAATTATCTTAGCAACCTTAAAACATTATAAATTCCATAAACATTATAAATTACCTAATTTCCATGCTCACATTTTTATCGAACCAATGAGACTGAATAAATACATTGGTTATAATTTAGATCACAGTAAATTAAAATAAACATGATACAATACCTGTGCGTTAGTCAGTAGTTTCGCTACGATTGGTTGTCCGGTTGCCGATTTATCAGAAGGCGTTTGCGCTCTTACAACTTGTGCGCTTGACTTCGTTTGGTTGGCAAGCTGCACAGTTTGCCCGCTAGCCAACTGCAATGTTTGCCCACTAGACAACTGAACTGTCTGTCCACTAGACAACTGTAATGTTTGGCCACTCGGCAATTGTACCGTTTGACCTGCCAATTGCACGGTTTGTCCCCCTAATTGCACCGTCTGAGACCCTAATTGCACTGTCTGTCCACTTGGCATTTGAACACTTTGACCTGCCAACTGCACGTTTGAACCACCTAATTGCACTGTTTGAATATTTCCACTACCGAGCTGAACAGTCTGACCGTTCGAAAGTTGAACACTTTGCGATGGTATTACACCTTGACTGGCAACGTGAACACTTTGTCCGTTAGGCAATTTCACAGTATGACCCGTTAGCTGTACACTCTGCCCGGCTAATTGCACAGTTTGCCCAGCGATTTGTACTGTTTGTCCAGTTAACTGCACCGTAGACACGGGTATCTGTACAGGTTGACTGGTTTGTATAGTTTTCACTGTTGGGGTAGCCTGTTGGGCACGTGGGCTCGGGCTCTTCACGGCGGTTGTAGAGACTCGGACGGCTTGGACAGACTGAGGTGATGCAAGTTGTACAGTTTGTCCACTCGGTAACCGAACACTGTGCGTAGGTAGTTGTAAGGAGGATAGTTGCAGCGTGTGTCCTGATGTTAACTGCACGGCTTGTCCACTGGGAAGATGCACGGTTTGGTTGGCAGCAAGCTGAACAGTTCGCCCGCCTGGAAGTTGCACCGTGCGTGTGGACATGGAGGACGTTACTGCTGTTGGCACGCTGCTTACAACTGTCGTTGTACTTGCCGTACTCTAGAAATTAAAACAAGTAGGTTTACATAAATAAAGTATATAATATTTAAAAATAAATATGAATGGAGACTTGAACTGTACCTGAGCAATAGTCGTGACAGATGCAGTACTTGGCACTGTGGTTCGCTTCTTAGCAGTTGCTGCTGCACCTGATGAGAGTCCACAATGAAATTATTTCAAAGCGATTTATATTTCTTTTTAATTTATTTAATTCATACTCGTCATATTTCATGTGGGACTCGAACCCCCAACTCTTGACGTGACGAAGGGTGAGGTGATCAGAACAGTAAACTTGCCCTACCTTCACTACTTCATTAACACTCATTATTAGTTACCTTGTTGCATTAACGCCCGCGGTGATATAAGAGATTTGCCAGATGCCGGAGTTGCAGGACTTAGCACTCTAACTACCCCTCTTCTAGTTGTTGGTGTAGCCTAAAATTAAACAATTAATTTAGATATTCAAAGCCTGTTATTGCAAAACGAGGTACCTACATTTTTTGGGATAGTTTCGGACAATTTCACTTCGTGGAAGAGCAGAAGTCGTGAGTTCTCTTCCGACCCAAGACAGATATTAACATTTGCTCTCTGTCTGGGTGTATTTTTTCTATAAAAGCGAGAAGCAATGAAGTCAGCGAAAGCGTGAATTTTTTCTCACTTAAAAATTGACTAAATTTTGAAAAATGAGAAATATGTTGCGGCAAGGTCCGGTGAGTACGTTGAGTGACGAAGAGCTTCTAGCTGTAACTGTATTTTTGCGATTCTGAAGTGCGAGCTCGTGGAGAAGCAATGGGGAAGAGCGATTGACCAGTCGTAGTTGCTGGATTGCGAGCTTCTCCATCATTGTTTGCAATTCTTGGCAATAGAAATCGGCCGTCACTGTTGTGCCATTCGGCAAGAAGGTGTGATGTCCAAGTCTGGTCCTCCAGACAGTCACCGTCATCGTTCTATGGGTAATCTTTTTTTAGCGCACCGTTTAGTATTAGTTGCGGTACCCGGCTCCATTTGTCGTACAGGATTTACTTTTCATCGTAACTAACTCCAAAGCTCGCAGCAAGCTCAGCCGTAGATTGAGTTGGACCCGCTTCCACTATCGCCATCAATTCGTCCTTGTCGACTATACTTACCGGCCGACCGTGAGTCTCATTCTTTTATTAGTCTCATTCTTATTCCAGATCATTGCGGAGGGATGAGGAAAATGTGGCGAAGAAAGTTTTAGGTATGGGAGTTAAGGGTACAAGAGAAGAGGCAGACCGAAGAAAAGATGGATGGACTGCGTGAGGGAGGATATGGATGGACTGCGTGAGGGAGGATATGGCTAGGAAGGGAGTAAACAGTGAGATGACGCATGACAAAGTAGAATGGAAAAATCACACATACTGCGCCGACCCCAAATAAAATTGGGAAAAGGGTAGGCAGATGATGATGATTCTTATTCCAGATCTAAACCGATTGAACCGATAATGAACCGTGTTAAGCCCGTACACGTCGTTAATGTTTCGTGTTGTTTGCGCAGCGGTATTTCCGAATGTACTGTTCGAATTTTCGGTTTATCCATGGCGCCAAAAACTACCACAGTTTCACAGAAACAAACACTATCCAAAATAAATGACTGAATTTTTAATTAATATAATATGGCTTTCGAATTGCGTGCCAATCCACAGATAATTAAATCTGAAAATGCTGATTCCAAAAATCTCCAACTTTATACCTATTATTTCATATCAGCAGCCTCATTTTCATAGTACAAATTATATTGGACAAAAGTCTGAGATAGTGATTTTAATCACAAATCGAAAAATGCATTGAAATTAATCATAATCGAAGTAGTTGACCATCAAACTCAAAGTTTTAGACAGGTATACAACCACCGTTTAAAAAGCTTCATATTCTTTTTTATTTAGAACTATTACCTATTATTTGGATCTTTAACAAACGAAAACTAATTTGACTTGACCAGACTCTGCATTAGAAACTAAAAATACACACTGACCTGTATCGCCGTCGGTGTAGTGACTACAGCTGTGACAGTAGTTTGAACAGCGCTCGGCCTTATTAAAAGAGACCGCGTGCCTTGCGTTACCTGCGAAGTGGGTAAAGTATGTATCAAGTAAGCGACAAAACGAAAACATAAAATATGCGTGTAATAGATCAAACAGAAATAAAAGATACCTTATTTTGAAGTTGAACCGGATTTGTGGATGTTGGTACTAAACCAGGAGGTTGAGAGCTGGACAAGTTTGGTACACTTGTTGCAGAAATCTAAAAAATATTACCAACAATTAAATAACAAAGTATTGCTTTACAACATTGAACTTTATATGTTCCGAAAATTAATAATAATTTAGGTGTATACCGATGAGATCTTTTCACAGAGCCTATAAACTTAAAAAACTACACTTTCAATACTAAAAATGCTTACTTTTACAGTGTGAAGTTAAAGATTCTTTATCTGTTTAACACATAGAGTACACTCTATGTGTTAAACAGATAAAGAATCTTTAAGGTTCATGAAAGTTACATGTAACATACATAGATTCTTCCTTCTGAGAGCTATGTATAATTTATCTTTAAAATGATCACTTTTCGGCAAACATATTCGGATAGTAAATCACAGAGAACGTACAATATTTACGGCAGCCTGAGTGACTTCAACTTTCTGTAACGGGCGCTGTTTGATCAATGGACTCTTGTGGGGCGTCGCTACGACCGAAGGTAATGACTTCGTCAGCTGAGTAACAGTACTCATCTGAGCAGAGATACTCGTCGGCTGGTTTACGATTATCTGTTTAGCGGCTTGTGTTTGTTTCGGCGACTGAATGACAGCGTTTGGTTGATTTATTTGCTTGGCATTTGCAACTTGTTTGGTAATATTTGGCTTCAATACTTGAGTTACTATACTAGCTTGCTTCGCAGCTTGTGCTATTACAGGTTTCGGTTGAACAGTTCCTTGCTTTGGCGATTGTATTATGGCAGTTTTCGTTTGCTGTATTACGGTGGGTTGCTTCACTTGGACATTGCTCTGTCTAACCGTCTGAGCCAGAATGTTCGCTTGTTTCGCTGACTGCGACATGAGCACCGCTTGCTTCGCTGCAGTCTGCTTAGCACCTGTTTGTTTCGGTTGAGAAACTTTCGGTTTCTGGGGCGGAGTGGCGACAAGTTTGCCTTTTGGTTTCGGTGGTAATGTGATGTGTTTCCCTTGTGACACTTGCGTGGCTTGCATCAGTAGTTGTGCTGACGAAAGGTGTGGCATTGAAGATGGAGTGCCACTGTCGTCTACGTCCACGTCACTATCGGAAGCATTTTCAACAACTTCTTCCACGCTAGCTACTTCTAGCTCCATCTGTAATGAGTAAACTTAAATTTATTAAATTAGTAGGTATAGCAATAAAATCTCTGCTTCGGAAAAAAATTTATTCATATTATTATGAGTCAAGACGAAAAATTTACAACCTTTTTCAGCCGCTATGACAACAAAATTTCACAACCGCGAATATTATTTTTCCTTCTTACGTTATCGGTTAAAGGCAAGGCAAGGAAGTTGATAGGCAGAAGTATATTTTCTACAATGATTGGATTGTTTGATAACACAAAGATCATTACATTTTAAATTCAGTGTAAAACATTAAATAAAATACAATAGTCATGTTACTAAGGCAAAACGCAGCATTTTAACCATTATTAGATTATTATATAAGTTAATACTGTTTTAAACATTATTTTAACTGCAATTTTATAGTTCCTAGATAATAAACTATATGTTATTAGAGAAAAACCAATATTCAATGGCGACAAGATTCGAAAAATTCCTGCCTGGCAACCGGTAGCGTAATCATCATCATCATCAACAGCCTTACACACCTTATACACTGCTGGACATAGACGTCTCAATCGTCACAAGTCGTTGCCAAGAAAGTTAAAATCCTCTTTCACACCGTGTTGTGAAACTTAGTTGCTATAGCTGTCGTAAGAACTAGAACAAAGAATTGGTTACTCACGGCATGAGGTGGTGTGTGATGTGCTGGTTCCTTGTTTATGATAGATAAGGGTGTTGTTTTTATCAGTGGGGGTGGAGGAATCGAAGAGGACGGAAGTGTTAAAGCGGGCACTGATAGAGAAGTCGCTTTACGACCTCGACCGGTCGTGATCTTTAGCCAATCTTCCTCGCTTCTGTAAATGCCAAATAAAAACACTGACTGAGTTTACATCTAACGCTTGTTCGTGCTCTCAGTAGTCAATAAATTCATTAACCTTAGGACTATTCTCCTTCTACAGGTTTAGTAGAAAAGGGCTTACACCCAGATTTAAATATTGATAGATCTAATTTGAGTAAGTTGGCAACTTGAAATGTATACATATATTTATATATATTAGCATAAACATTTAACAAAGACAAATATGATTTAAATTATAATAATAACTTGAAACGTCTCAGAACTAAAATAAGGCAAAGTCTGAGCTCTTCCAATTTGATGGTTCTTAAGCATACTTATTTATTTCTCATGATCCTAAAAGTCTTTTTCCCAAATCAGGTTGGACTTTCATTCTATCACGATAAGGCTGAACTTCGATTTTTTCAAGCGATTGCCTTCCTTCACGACCCTAGTACTAGGCGATATCGAAGTTCTGTAAATGGACGTCGAACGGCTGTCGAATTTTTTAAAGTTTCAACTACCTTTAACGATCGCCACAGACGTATGTATGACAACCGGGCCGGTGACATAGCGTGCTCTCTGAGGCGTTTATTTCTAAATACGTATTTATTAAAACTATATTATGAACGGATTACATATAAATACCTATGTCTATGAAGATACGTCCACACCGCCGTTCTTTGGTCATACTTGACGACGGGATCCCGTTTCGCAGACAGAAGTCTATCTAATACCGAAGACACCGCACTCAAAAGTGTTTGCTCACCGCAAGGAGCTATCCATTGTGACATTCTGTAAAATAATATGTCATTATATATTATCAATAACCAGTATAGCTATCGCCGATGGCTTCGCCACACATGGGAAACGGAGGAGTTTAGATTAGAGTATCGGTCGGGCCACGCCATAGCGGTACCTGAGCAGCACGAGCACGTGATGGCGCGTGCCCTCCCCGTTGGGCAGGCGCGCCAGCGCGTCGCGCACGAGCGCGGGCAGCGCGGCGTGGCGCGGCCGCGCGCCCAGCAGCACGCCGCCGCCCGCGCCGCCGCAGCCCGCGCCGCGCGCGCACGGGCCCACCACCGACCGGTACCTGCGCACGACACACACTACTAGTACGCGCTCCACTGCTTTATTACATATACGTTCATCTTTTTCGACAAATATGAAACATGAAACCTGCGAACGACTCGTCACTTATCGCTTTACGACATTATTTCACGTTTTGAATTTGTAAATACACTACTGAAGCTATAAAGTTGTTCGCTTAAATTGGTCAATTGTTGTTTGTCTTACTTGAATGCAAACGGCACGGATAGATTAGATTTTCACGGTCACACGAGGCACGGTGAAGCTATGATAGCTTGGAGGGGGGGGAGTCCCCCCCCCCCCCCCCTTGCGATCATAGACGAATATGCATCGTATTATTACCCGTATTGAACGTATGTGAACGGTTTAGCGGCAGCTGCAAATCGCCTTCGTTCCTGAGCACGGAAATCTATCAATTCCGCCTCTGTTGCGACCCGAACTGCCCACGATGTAGGATATCTGCAAGGAAAATAACTTCTGAGAGGTCAATTATACATACATATTTATGAACCACAGCGTTACCAAATCACATATATTCATTCTAAAAGTTTTATGGATATCATTTGTTTTGACATATATAACGGTCGCAACATATTTACAAAAGTATAAACGCAACAAAGTTTTTACAAATACAATAAAATAATATTTATAATATCCATATTGATGCGAGCAGTGCGATCTGGTTTACTTCTTGTTACTGTCTAAGTACATTTTACTTAAGAAACCAGGAAGCACATTGTTCTGACATACAATGTCGTTATAAAGTGTATTTAGTCACGTGTGTAGTATGATTTATCAATTAGCACTCATAATCTCCCCATGCTGGATTTATAACGATGACTAATCGCCTGTTTAACATTTATGGAATCAACACTCAGTACGAAAGGATGTATATGGGTTTTAAATATTACCTGGAGGGTGGTGGTTCCGACGCAGGCGGCGGTGGTTCAGCGGCCCGTAGCCACCGCTCACACAACCGACCTAAGATCGCGTCACAATCTCGACCAGCACCGATCCATTGGTACATCTAATAAATGTAAATTACGATCTTTATTCACATTATACATATTTATATCGATAAATGTATATAATATATACATTGAAGTGAATACTTGTCTATTCACATTCTGCCTATATTTTAAGGCTTAGGTACATAATGATATGAAAATATTTTATTTTCTCCTTTTTGATAATAAACTGGTGGACAATAAAATTAGGCCACCTTCCCAACATGCAGTCGTGACTGTTTTGTGATTTTTTTTATTGATTGTATGCTAATTCTTGAATGAAATAACGCATTTTTAAATTAACCAACTTTATTTTTTAGTAATAAACAAGAAACATAAAAAATGAATAACAAAAATTGAAGTCGTAAAAATAACAGTTGTGAACGTACCTGTGTTTCAGGTAAATACTGGAGATATGGCACAAAATCATCTGGATGCTGCCCTCTTTCACCAGCAAGAAAATCCAGAGCAGAATCAAGTTCGGCACACCAATCATCAGACACTAAAATAATGAGAGAAAATGAAATTACAGTAAAAATTAGACTATTAAGACTAAGTAAGGATTAACGAAAACACTAAAATAAAGAACTGTAAAATGAATATCTGTAATAGGGGGAGATGAAAAAAACAGACAGACCAAATGATTGTGCTGATCACATAATTATTTGTCCTGGGTGGGAATCGTACCCATACACACTTGAGACATTCATTCAGCAATTATTGCATGTCTTACTCATATTTAATGATATTATGGCAAAAGTTTTTAATTGCAAATCAGACTTCAAATTAAATACTGCATCAGTCATTTTTGTTGGTAACAAGGGAACTGTAAACAGTTCGATCTAAATAAAATTGTATTGTTTACAGTTCCTCTCAGTAGAGGGTTGTCGCAGAAGGAAAAAAATATAATGTAATTTAAATATAATGATGCACAATCTTACTTGCCAAATAAATGGACCCTATTATAATAAATTACATTTACTCGACACTAACAAGCTTGTTAGTAATAATATTTCATTGATAAAAGGTAGACATTACCTTTCAGAGACAGATAGCAATTTCGCTATCATATTTTTTTTCGATTGAGAAAATTGACATTACCCACAGTGACTTTGCCAATCCATTGGCAGATGTCTTTAGACATTTATAAAAAATTAAATGACATACCTAATAAGTTACATAATAATTAGTCATCATAAGTTCAATCATAGTAAATTTATTAAAAATAATAAGATAAATAATATCAATTTGGTGCATCAAAACATTGGAGGAATGATGGGTAAAGACTTAGAGGTGGAACTGTTCATGAACTGCAATGCAATTGATATTTTTTATATTACTGAACACTGGCTAAAACGGAATCTGTTCTTGTTCAATTTGGATCAGCACCAGGTAAGCAGCTCGTTCAGCAGAAGAACAGCAATACATGGTGGCACTATGATACTCATTAATAAGAAATTTAAGTTTAAAGAGCGCCATGACATTGCTAGTTTATCAGTTGAGCGAACTACAGAAATAGCCTGTATAGAACTAAAAGGTTTCATAGTAGTATGTGTATAGAGACCTCCTTCAGCTTTGTATGATTGTTTTGAACGTGTTTTGCGTGAGTACAAGTAACAAGATCAAAAAAGAAGGTCATCATCTGTGGTGACTTCAATATACCTATTTTAGTATATATATTTATTATTATTATAGTATAATATATATATACCTACTATATAACCTATTGGAAAATTCAAGTATAGTAACCTAGTTCAAGGCACTCTTTCAATCATACAATCTGAAGAACTTGTTCTTGGAGCCTACGCGAATCACTGCAACCACTGCCACATGTTTGTACAATATATTTACAGACATTGTAATTAAGGACAAGAAAATAATCATTCAATTACATTCTGACCACTGTGGTCAATTAGTATCTTTCTGTGATAGATATGAAAAGGTGGCAGAAAAAATAAATAAATAATTGTAAAAATTTTAAGGATAAACTTAAAGCTGCTTTTAATAGTTCAGTACTCTGTGTAGAGAATAACACTTATTATATACTATATTTTTATATACTATATTATATACTATTATTATTATATACTTATTATAATAGTTTGTTAGTAATTTTCTTCAACATTTAACACCATATTTACACCAAAAACGCTAGTGGTTAAAGGTAACACCACATTTAGTGAATGCCTGGCTTACTCAAAAGTAGGAAAAAATTATACGAGCTATATAATGAGAGGAATTATAAGAAAAGTGAACAGTTTCATAATTATGTTAAAGAATATTCAAAGTTGTTTAGGGAACTTTGTAAATTGGCTAAGTCTCGTTTTATAAGTTCAAATATTACAAGTAGCACTTGGAAAATTATTAACAGTGAAACTGACAAAAATCAATAATGCGATAATGACTTTAATCTATACTAATATTATAAAGCTGAAGAGTTTGTTTGTTTGTTTGTTTGTTTGAACGCGCTAATCTCAGGAACTACTGGTCCGATTTGAAAAATTCTTTCAGTGTTAGATAGCCCATTTATCGAGGAAGGCTATAGGCTATATATCGTCACGCTAAGACCAATAGGAGCGGAGCACCAATGAAGAATGTTTCAAAAACGGAGAAAATTTAGTACTATTGAGAGACGCAGACGAAGTTGCGGGTGTCAGCTAGTTTAAATATAAACCTTAAATTTATAACATCAAATGCTGAGGTTGCTGCTGCATTTGAGATTTTTTTACTAACATTCTTGTATTAACTACTAAATCTTTGAACTCCTCACCTTGCATTAAAGAGATTAAAAGAGAATGTTAGTAGAATTGATAGTAAATTTAAGTTCCAATATGCTTGCCCTTAAAAGTTATTAAAGGCTTAAACACTATTAATGTTAATAAAAAACGCCCTATGGGGAAATTCTGTATTAATTACTAAGACAATTATATCTCTTGTGGCTAATCAATTGTCATTTACATTTAATCAATGTGTTGCATTAAGTAACTGCAGTAGTAAGTAAGTCTATTACATTATTCCTTTATTCCAATCTGGTAGTACATCTGACCTAACTAACTAACTAACCTATCTCAGTACTACCAGTATTTAGCAAAATTTTTGAAAAAATATGTATGAGTAATTGCAAAGTTTTTTTTAATATTAATAATTTATGACACAATAGACAATTTGGTTTTACAAGGAGTCGCTCCACAACTGATGCCAGTGTTGAGCTAGTAAAGGATGCCCACGATTCTCTAGGTGTCTTTTGCGATTTTTCTATAGCTTTTCATTGTGTTGTCCGTGAAACTCTGATCAGGAAAATACAGCACTATAGTATCAAAAATAAAGCACTGGAACTTCTTGCTTCATATCTATTTAATAGGATTCCGAAAGTTGGCTCTGTGGTAGAAATGGGTGTTCCACAAGGTTCTATTCTCAGCCTTTTTTTGTTTTTAGTATATATTAATGACTTACCTCACCTTGTCAAGGACAATCTCGAGATTGTGTTGTTTGCAGATGATACATCACTATAATTTAGACTAAAATGGACACTTACTAATTTCACAGACGTAAACAGCGTAATTTCGAAAGTGGTTCATTGGTTTGACGTCAATAATTTGCTTATAAATGAACAAAAAACTAAGTGTATACCATCAAGATTTAAACACTAATGGATGCAAGAGATGATCTAAAAAAAATCCTCATACATATAAAGCTAAAGGTTTATAGACTGTAATACTAACAATTATACCAAGTGTTAAGAGGCGCAATGGGCGACCGCATAACTGCGGCGCATCTTGCATGCAGTTGTTTCTTACTCGCCCTATGAGCTGCTCTTGCAGGAAATAGGGCCCGAACTAAAGACAAGAAGCAAGCATGTGTCGTTTCTGTTAACAAAGAGTCTGCCTCCACACTGCTACTCTCGACATCCCCTTCTGTTGATGTCACTTCTTGAACAACTTCTCCTGATTCATCTACAAGTTCCACTGGTAGAGCCATCATGTCTGAAATTTTATTTTATTTTACATTTATATTTGTGGTGTGATATGTGGCTATGAGAGATGTAGGTAAAATATTCTTAAGGGTCTTTCAAGTATTTAGTAAGCACTTCAATAAGTATTTGTTTTTTTATTCTACTTACATATAACTGCTTACTTGTATTACTTATATGTATACAATGAATAGATATTTGGTTTGTATAACAGAATAATAACTTATAAGACAAACTTACCGATTCCATCTAAATCCTCCAGTTTAATAGGCACTGGTTGGTTCACTCTCGAGTTTTGTGTTTGCATTACACTATCAATAGGTTCTTGTTTTACTATGCTATCCAAATTGGTATCATTATAATTTAGACTAGAAATTAAAAATATACATAAATTTTAGACTTCAATTTCTATAAAGAATAAAAACAGTGTGTATGAGCTGTTATAGTATATTAGTATAAAAAATTATTAAGCAGATTTTAAAACTCGAATATAACAGTCCACAATTGTAACAGTGTTCACTGTGAGCTGAACTTCCATTGTTGACTGTGTGTTGCAATGACAGCCTAGTGACATGTTTGACAGAATCTTTCCCAGAATCTGACAATCTGTGTACAAAATGCAACAGTACCATACTAGTAAATAGGAACAGTCTGTTTCACTGAGCTAAAAGTGGCTCTTAGCATGTTTAATATTTACTTTAAGTCAAAACAATTCTATAACAATACTATTTGTTGTACATATAAATTCAAATACAGTTCAACAAATGTAGTGTGAAGTTAACTAATGGCTAGGCAGTGAAATACAATATGACGAAAATATGAAAGCAGCAAATGCAGTGTATTTTGCAAACATGATAAAAAAGACTATATATATATATATATCAAATATGGAAATAAAATATTAATATGTACTCACTTTGACATACTAGGATACTTGGCATCCATTTCTATTTTTATTTCAGGTGGTTCTACCTTCTTCCCTGCATTGGGACTTGTCACAAGATCTACAAATGAGGAACTTTCAGAATCAGATTCCTCTTGTTCACATTTTATCTTAATATTTGGCAATAATGGTTTACTTTCAACAGTCTCATACTCTTCTTTTCCTTTTTTACAAGGCTTCTCATGTCTCTGTTTCTGACCCTCTTTCTTTGGTCCTTTTCTTAGTTTTTGTATGGGTGAACCAGTTTTTTGACCACCAAACATGAGTTTCTTTGCACCATTCACAAGAGCTACCCTTTGTTTTATGTCATCTATTGTTATCCCTGTTGTAATAAGTTCTGGATGATTCTGAAATGATGAAAATATTCTGTCTAATCAAATGCATTTCATAAACAGGTACTGACAGATAAGTTGCAAGCCTGTTGGTCTAGTAGCTAGTGCTAAAGGCTATAGGTGTGATTTCCACCAGGAATTATTGTGTGCTGAGCATGACCATTTTTTCTGTGTCTAGATACAGAAAAAATAGGTTGACTGTTACCTAGGTGTAGTTTATCTATAATATGTATATATTTAGAAATATTGGAGACTGTTTATAAGCATCTGGTTTTCATAGCATAGGCTCGGCCTGATTTAGGATCAGACTGCCATTTAAAAATGTGTGCAGTCATTATCATTATTTTAGATTTATTAAAGATTTCTATAATTATTAATTAAAATAATTATTACAAGTTTTACTTAAAATGCCACCTAAAAGTCAAAACTTTTTTTTACGAAAAAAGAGAATCAAAATAATTGCTACTTCATTGCTAAATACAATGGATAAACAAGTTGATGATAATGGCAAAGTGCTAATTAATCTTGTATGTCAGTACACCAATATGAATCTTAATAAAGGAATACAAGTATAAAATACTAATGGAAAAGTAAAAAAAGTTGCTAGCACTTGGTTAGTCTCCTTTTTTTTTAATTAACAAATTAACAAACAGCTATTTATTTATTTCACCACTATACAATTATATGCTTAGGTTTATCTCTATCAATAGTCTTTACTCATACACTGCTCAACAAAGGCCTCTCTTTAGAAAGAAAGTTTTGGCCTACTATACCACACTGGCTAGATGGGTTAGTACAGGGTTTTCTTTCTCTTTGCAGTGCTGTTGTCCTGCGTGGTATACTCCCTTAGTCAGCTATTACCACACCCATGGTTCATCACCTAATTTGAAAAGCAAGTTAAGAAAACATTACAAGTGGAAGTTAAAGATACCTCTCTATATTGCCTTCTTGTTCTGTGAGTGGCTAGTACATTCTTTAAACATTCTAATGAGGTCAATGTTGATTGCTCTGAACCTCCCAGTGTACCAGATACATTCCCATCTGTGTTCTGAAATTGAAAACATATACTTTCATATAGGTAATCAGACTAATCATAAGCCAATCATAACCACTAATTGTAATAGAACTATTACTTGTCCTGATGTTCCTTGTTTTCGTTTCCTCATTGACTGTTCTGGTGGACCTTCAGGATAGTTCTCATCATCAGATTCATCTCCCCCTACTTCACTTCTAATAGCTGATAACTCTTCAAAATATCTCTGTTTGGCTCGTAAATACAAAGGCTTATAGTTATTTTTAGAGGAAGGCCTTGGAGGCAGTAATGGCAAACGTGGCACAGGACCTGGTGGAGCTGCTTTAGCAGCTGCCAATAAACGCTCTCGAGAAATGAGAACTTCTGGTAATAATTTTGCATAGTATGACTTTATCTGAAAAAAAAATCACTTTTATTACTACAAAACAAACTAAAACTAACTATTAATAACATTGTCTACTGTACATTCAACTTTATTACCTTATGCTTTTGCTGTTTGGCTCTAGCTTTCATAAGAAATTTTCGCATTTTTGCTATATCTGGCCGATAGTTACCCTGCCTCAAATTGTTATAAAAATCACCAAGAGGTGATGTGAAATGAAAGGGTTCATGGTTGAAAAGCATTTTAAGTGTCTTTTCCTTTTCTTCTTCTTCATTTTCAGTAAATTTAGGTAGGTATTTACTTAATTCATCCTTGTGTTTGTCTTCTAAAGCATCCCAAGTCTTCATGGAGAAAAATTCCTTAAAAACGGAATAGTCCTCACACAGTTCCTGTGGCAATTCCAGAGATTGACCCAAGATGCGTACCGGCTCCATCACCTCATCATCTACCTCCGAACTCCCGCTGGAGGTTTCTGAAGAACTGCTACTTTCCCCACTGTAGCTATGTTCACTCTCCATCTTTTCTTCCATTGTGTTCTGACGGTAATCGAAGCAAAGGTCAACTCTAAGATATACCAACGCTTTTCACTGAACACAATTACGATTTTCCACCCACTTCATTGAATTTTCACCTTGTTTTGTTCCTGTTGTTTACGAAAATCCTAAGCAATAGTATAACAATCTCGAACAGTGAGCCATGAAGTTTTTTTAAACAGCCGTCAAGTCTTGTCTAAAATAAAATAGAACGCACACGCCAAACCACGGCGTTTCATACATACTATACGGCAGAACGGAACATTACGACGAGAAAATAGCTTGACAATCAAGAACAGCGACATTTTGCCCGCAAAATAGAATTTAAAAGTAAAAATTCCATATCTATGGCCAGCATACCTACATTGTCTATGAAATTGTTGTGACACTCAAAACCCAAGCTCAAAGTTTTGGAACCAACCATTATTTAATTATTATGGTAAGAGTTTCTAGGTTCAGAAATCTATTGCTCTGAAATTTTTTGTTAGACTTATTTTATGCAACAAATTAAGTTTCTCATTACACAAATAAAACTACGTGATTGAAATACAAACGATCAGTTACTTCTTTTGGTTTTTGTTGTTTCTAAAAAGAATTAAGTTTATTATTGCATCCATGACTAATACACAAAATAATAAATAAATAGTTAAATCAATAAAATTTTCTCTGTTTCATTTCTAATCGTCTAAAATGGAAAACTACCATGGTTATATTTTTAATAACGCTCCGTTTCCAGCGAGGTATCGTTTTGGTATTACTTGGACAAAGCTGGCATCTATTTTTTTTGTGTTTTATAGAGATAAGCGATACAACTCTACATGAAGACTTTTATTAGACAAGTGACAAGGCCGTCTCCATATAACATACTACTGACATCTCTAGACGAGAGCGTCGGTGACATTCGGAGACTACAGTTTGAGCTTTTGACGTGACAACGTCTTATAATTCGATGGAGCCGGCTGCACGCACGAAAAAACATGACTCATGCGGCGTTACCTCGCTCTGAGGCGTGCAAGCGAGAGCGAGGAACGAGTGACAAAGAGGCACAATCGGCCTCCGCGTTCGGCAGCGTTCGACATCTGTCTCTCTCCTACTTGAGTGAGCGATGCGTCCGCGTGGACAGCTGCTACTCGTATACAATAATACATTTTTTAATTTGAAAAATGCAACCATTCCATCAGTATTTTCTTATGACGTTGTCACGTTCAACTATCGTCAGTAAACCGACTTTACAGACAACCGATTTTTTGATTCGGTTCAAAGAGAAGATGGACGAATTTTTTGCCAAGATGATTTTCGTGTCATTGCATGTAAATCGTTCTCCGATGAACTTCAAATATTACTCAATGCCGTTTCTATTATAGCTAGCAGCACAATCAAAGAGCGTTAGGGGAGGATCATGGGAACATATACACATGTAACAGTCTGCAATTTGTATTTGATTTAAATTGAAGTCTGTATTTTATCGAACACTGGGTTATGACTATTCCAGACTCTAAGACGTCTAGTGTCTTGTCCTAATGTAGAGCGTACTACCACATGATCATTTAACATCGAATCATTAACGACGAATCATTCTTATTACATAATTTAAAAATGGAGGTGGCTAGGCATATTATTAAGACGTTTGAGCTCTTAGCTTCAAGATTAGGGTAACTGGTGATATTTAACATACCTATAGCATCGTCTTGCAATTCAGATCCGATGCATCAATTTCGATTGCGGGCATAGCAATTAAATTCACAGCCACAAGACATTTAGAGAGACGTGACAGATGTAGATTTGAATTTTGTGAGAGACCTATTAGCACATGATTCATTATAATCGTTAGTGCAAACATTAATCAGATTTGCTAACAACGCTCTAAACACACGTTTTGGGTTTTTTTAAGAGGCGGCAATCGAACAGACGGGTAACCTGTTGGAAGGTGAATACCACCGCCCATGAATACCTACAACTAAGGAGTCACCAGCACGTTGCCGCCCTTTGAGGAAGGAGTACGAGTACCTTTTGTTGATATAATGATGCTGTAACAATATTTATTTACAAAAGTGCTACTTTCTCAACTACTTCTTCTGATCCTTTTTCCCAATTCAGGTTGAAGTCGGCTTTCAGTCTACTACGATACGGTTGAACCTCGATTTTTTTCGCGGAGTGACTGCCATCAGAGGCCTTCGTGTAAGTTTATTTTACATTGACTCGATTGTCACGGTGAGTGCATTCGGCGCTGTGATTGGCCTGCACTGATATCTACACCAATCGCAACGCCGAACGCGCTCGCTGTCAAGAGTCAGTTGATTTGACATAAACTTGCACTAGGCACTCTGACCTCTATAACCCAATCACTAAACTTTTTAGGGCTTCAACTACCCGTACCGATTGCCAGAGATGTTCGTATGGCAACCGGGACCGTATATCACCCTCTTATAGACTCATCTTGCTAGAATGGCTTAACTTTGCAATGTGTTAATTAACCTACTCGGTTACCATTTAGCCACGAGCCGCTCCAGCATTATAATACGATTAAGGACGACATGTGACTTATTAAAACATGTGATTGTAAATTGTTCTGTCTTTGTTCTTAGTGAACAATTTTGAAAAGAATTGGATTTGAATCGAGATTCAGAAAAGAAACATAAAAGTGGCTTAGATCCAATTATAATGTAAAAAAAATTGGCAGCTCATCATCATTTTATAAAAATAAACATTAGATTACAGATTTGTATACAATGCTTTTACCATCAGTCCAGTAATTTCAACTTTTAAAATATATCATACAATCGTTATAACACGAAAAGTAAATTTAAAAGTGCCACGAATTAAATAGAGTTCCATTTCAAAATGCTACATATAACGAAACGTAATACCTGAGAACCAAAAACAATCAGTTGGCGGTGGTGGTGTCCAAAGATTTGACTTTTTGACGTAAATTATTCGTGTAGTAAATATGGCTGACGAACTCAATGTTGACAGTCTAATTCACAGACTTTTAGAAGGTAAATACACATTTATTGATCTTTTTATTGCGTACTTTAAATCTCTAATTCTTAAAGTTGTGTATTAATATAATGGATCTACGCTCAGTGTGCTCTCGTTGCGTAATTATCGTCGAGTATGTAGGCATAGAAACGTCAAACTCATAAATAAATCGATTATCCCAAATTCTTATCAGATTCTGCATTTGATGTTAGATGTTTAGATGACTGGCAAAGAACTATTTTCGTCTTAGAAATAGAGCATACACTGTAAATAGTAATTTTTTAGAGATATTTACACTACTAACAATGATGTCAGATTCCTTAGCATGGAACACTTCCATGGGCCTATTGTTGAGCTTTTATTCGCTTTCAGTATCACTTTATATGATTTAAACATGTTTATTTCACTTTATTACGCTGCTTTTTCGTGGGTTACCGCAGTATACAGACTGCAGCAGGAAACAGCAAGACGAAAAGGGAAATTGAAAGACATCTTTTCAGGAGAATGTATGGTTATATCCAGAATTCTTGCCAAAGTATTAAGCTAGATTCTTTATTTTCTTCTTTTAGCGACCAATTTTTTGAGCGACTTATTTTAATTCAAGTTTTGAGTTGGACATTTACTTTATTTATTATTTCTATAGGTCCTATAAATAGCCTACTTTAAGCAATAAAAAGGTATTGCTATTCAAAGGCCAGAAATGTACCTTTGTCATTATTTTTTGTATGTTTTGTGTATTTTTCTCTCTAAACATTTACACTTCAGTAGCCTTAAAATTTACAGTAAAAAAAAGTGAGTGAAATCATTGGTTTCATTATTTTTTTTAAAACAAACTGCAGATTTTTTATAACATTCAAATACCTTTGTAATTTATATTTAATTGGTTTTTTTTTTATTAAACTGATGAATAAATTGTACATAAGTAATGCTGCTTTTATTAGCAATATTTAAATAGAAATTGTTTAAAAACTCCCTATATCAGTTTGATGATTTACATTTGTTTTTTATTATTTGAGGCTATTTTTGTAATATAAAGCATGTTTTTGCATATGTTATTGGAAATTTTCTTGTTCGTGTATGTACAGATAGTTATGTGTATTGTAAAATGTCTTATGCAATTACTCATTTGACTAAACATTATTCATTCACATGCATTATTTTTGCTTGAAGATGTTCCAGCCCTGTGTATTCAAAACATTAAAAAGTATTTTTGATGATTGCTCTAGTTCACTTTGTTAAAATTATTGTTGATAAATAATTGTATTATGCTTTTGCATTATGTTTATGGAGCAACATATCCTTATTGTTGTTTATGTACATCATATTTTATTATATATTTATGTTTACAATGTGGCCTTGTCACAGTTCGAGGATGCAGGCCCGGCAAGACAGTGCAGATGTCAGAATCAGAGGTGCGCGGCCTCTGTACCAAGTCCAGAGAAATTTTCCTGCAACAGCCCATACTACTGGAATTGGAGGCACCACTCAAAATTTGTGGTATGGTTTCATATTGCTAATATAACTTCTTATGTTTCGTAACTTTCTACTAAATTGAAGATTTTTTTTTTATTGTATACCCTATTTTTTTTCCCTTATACTGATAGTTCCCTCAGCTATTATAAGGGTATATCTTTAGGTAACTATGAATTGCTAAAAAAATCATGCAAATTTTTTGTATAAACTAGTTTTGTAATAATATTACTAAAATTAAGTAACTACAAACTTGTTACTTAATTTTAGTAATATTATTATATTTTTCTTATATATAATATTGCTATTTTTTTAGAAATAGGTCGCTTGATCACATTTCTAACAGTCTTGTACTTTGTTTTAGGTGATATACATGGCCAGTACACAGATTTATTACGTCTGTTTGAATATGGCGGCTTTCCACCAGAAGCAAATTATCTATTTTTGGGAGATTATGTAGATCGTGGCAAGCAATCTCTTGAGACCATTTGTCTTCTACTTGCATACAAAATTAAATATCCTGAGAACTTCTTTCTTCTCAGAGGGAATCATGAATGTGCAAGCATAAACCGCATTTATGGTAATCATTCTTTTATTTTTTATTTATAGTTTACATTTACACAAACAACACTTCTTATTGAAAATAATAAGTGTTGTTTCATCATCAACAGCCTATAACAGTCCACTGCTGGACATAGGCCTCTCCTTGGAAAAGAAGTTTTAGCCTGCTATACCATGCTGGCCAGACGGGTTCATATAGGGTTTGTTTCAAGTTTTCCTTCTCTTTGCAGTGCTGTTGTCTTGCGTTGCAAACTACGCAGATTTTTTATAATATTCAAATACCGTTGTAATTTATCTTTCGTCTTGCGTAGTTTGCAGCTCTTACGACACCCACGGGATGAATAGGGGTGGTGCTTTTCCACATTCTGAATCCGTCACTACATGGATTTGTTGTGTGTGTAAATGTAAATGCAATAGAAATGACACTTTGTAGTGATGTATTATCGCTTCAAAGTTTCATTTCTATTTTACATAGTCAAAGGTACTCACTCAGCTTAAACAATTTTGTTCTACAGTGCACTGCAGTTATTAATTAAGTGCTTATCTTTTTAAATTTCATTGTGTTCAGATTAGTTTATATTCAACTTACCTTATGTGTCTTTCTATATCACTAGACTAGACTCACATCTTACTAATTACAATTTTTATTGTGTACACAATAAATAAAAAAAATCTTAAACATGTTATATGCTTCTATTAGGATTTTATGATGAGTGCAAACGCCGTTACAATATAAAGCTGTGGAAGACATTTACGGACTGCTTTAATTGCTTGCCAATAGCTGCTATTATTGATGAAAAAATATTCTGCTGCCATGGTGGCCTCTCACCGGACTTACAAGGCATGGAGCAGATCAGGCGAATAATGAGGCCAACTGATGTCCCTGACACAGGTAAAAGTTTTACAATAATATATCATGACTAATAGGTGATTCATTTTATACAAATGACACAGCACACTAACTTGCTTCTGGCACTAATTTTATTACCTAATATTATGTGCTGTCAACATGTCTAGACAACATTTTTTTTTAAAACAACTTGGCCACACATGCCCTACTGATTCATAACAACATACAAATACATAGATATACATTATAGATAAATTACACCCAGACCCATAATAAATAATTAAGCTCATTACACAATTATTTGTCCTGGTTGGCAATCAAACCCATAACCTCTGGTTTAGCAGTCTACACATTGGGCTAAGGTACTGGACGAGCATATTGGAACAACATGTGTATGGGTTCACTTGGCGGTATGTTGCTAGTTGGCGACAACACTGCCGGCCAACCGATTAATTTCGGTGTTTCGTGCACACAAAAGTATCTGTATGGATGCCGTAGTGGTTTAAGCGGTCACCTCGCCACTGCCTACCACGCTATTGTGGGTTCAATCCCCACATGGGACACTTCGTGAGATCCATAGATTGTTGTTCTGAATTTGTATCATGTTTGTTAACTCTCCCGCGACACAGGACATATTATATAAAAGAAAAAAGATCTTGGCGCACTCCGCAAACAGTATTCACACGTTGGTACACATTTAAGTAACAATTTATTTTATTATTTATATATAAGATTCCACATCCATCTTTATCGAAGCGCCAATACAAAATAATTAGTACGCCATGTGTAAGTATATTCAATTGTTTGGGCCAACATGTTGGCCCTGTACCTTGACCTATCATGCTGGCCCTGCACCTTGGCCCAATGTGTACAGCGGCCTCGAGGAGTGTGAGTAACACAGAAGTACATGTTGATTTGAAGTTGAGTTTGAAGGTAGACACCAATTAGTGGGATAAGGTTTTACTCTTATCCAATACATCGGATATCCGCGTATTTGTACTGTCTCAACATAAATTATCATGTGATGTTTACCGTACGAGAGTCATGCGTGGGCGCATACTTATAGGCCAGGATCGACACTACGACCTCCAAGGAAAACCGGTGAAAAAGCAATTCGTTCGTTGCTTTTCACCGAGTGAGTGAGGTTACTGCTGCTCAAACCCTCCCCTTCATCCTGATTCTAGAGGGAGGGACTGACATTACAATTCACTTGTGACTCTTCAGTTGCATTGCAGGAGTCTCTATAACATATAATAAATATTATTTCAAACACATTATTCGAGCTGTCAGCTTGCTATTGATGCGGCCAGTTCTCGCTGCAGGTTATCATTTTGTCCATGGTCCAAAGTGAGTGTGCGTTGGATTCTGCTTAACACTAGCCCATAAAATGGAAAACGCGCCAGATACTCGTGCAACAGAATCAAAAATTTCCCGCGACCATCTCAGCTGCGATGGTCGTGACATATTTGCCGTCAAAGTATAGCAGGGTTCTCGAAAATGATCTTCTTTGGATATAACAGAGTTCGTTGCTATAGGTTAACTTTTGACAGTGAACTGTAGTTTTACGTCTAAACGACAGTACCTGACTGGGGCAAACTAAAACTAGTGAGTTGATGATGATTGATGTGAAAAAATGTATTTATTATTTAGCGACTCTGTTATGAGTTCTACAACCCTTCAAGTCATAACAAATTAATGAATAATCCAAGTTCGTCCAATTCATTCGCAGGACATGGTATTTTTTTATGTTCATTGAGTTCATTTTTTTTTCCAGGTCTACTTTGTGACCTTTTATGGTCGGACCCGGACAAAGACGTACAGGGTTGGGGTGAAAACGACCGCGGTGTGTCATTTACATTTGGCCCCGATGTTGTCAGTAAATTCCTCAACAGACATGACTTGGATTTGATCTGTCGAGCTCACCAGGTAATTAAATCTTTTAGTGAGCCATTGTTAACCCAATTTATACCATAATGTTAAAAAGATAATTTTCTAAATATTTCTTTTCTAAATATTTATATGCAAGTTTGTTTTCCTTAAAAAACTATATTTCAACTTTTAGGTGGTAGAAGATGGGTATGAGTTTTTTGCAAAGCGACAGCTGGTGACATTGTTTTCTGCACCCAACTACTGCGGGGAGTTCGATAATGCTGGCGGCATGATGTCCGTTGACGAAACGCTTATGTGTTCTTTTCAGGTAAAAAAGATACAATAACTTTTTGTTTATCTGTGTTTTCTTAATTTTGTTTTACACTTTCTGTTTCATATTAATCTTTAATAATGTTTTTATTCATTTTTTCTTTCTTTTAAACTTACTTTTTTTTACTAAGAAAGCAGTATATAATATTGGATAAAGTGAAGTCAATGGTAGATAAACATTGAACGTTTATCTTTAAAATCGGATAAGTCACGTCAGATAAAAGATTTATTAAGAAACATCTGGAGCTTCAAGGTTTCAGGATTATTTAGAATGAATAAGGTATTTTTAAGATACTCCACCAGGTATGTCACCCAACTTTGTAGAATATGTAGTTGAGATTTAAAAATATATATTATTTTAAACATACAGATATTAAAGCCATCTGAGAAGAAAGCAAAGTACCAATACAATGGCATCAAACCCTGAGTAACATTTTAAATGTAAAGATACTAAAGTCATTTGAGAAGAAAACAAAATAACAAGTACAGTGGCACCAAACTATGATTGACTAACATTTTAAATATACAGATATTAAAGCCATCTGAGAAGAAAGCAAAGTATCAGTATAATGGAATCAACAGTGGGAGGCCAGCCACACCTCAGCGATCACCTCCTAAGAAGAAATAACTGACGTTTGGTATCCAGTGTGCTGCACAGTGAGAGGAATGCTACAAATAATTAATTATATCATGTATTATAATTATGTTTAGTGTGGTCATTGGACATAACCGAATAATATGTCGCGTATTGTTAAAATTTATTTATCGATTTGCTTGTGCCTTCTTATTTTTAATTTTATCGTTATTGTGAGTGATATTAATTTATGAATTTAGTTCTACAGACTGCGCATATCGAACTGACATTATCTTATTCGGTAATGCCTCAATGACTTGCTTTTTCGATCCCTGATATAAGGCAGCCTTCTTAATGATATTGTATCCTGTTGTATTATTGTAAAATGTTAATGTTGTATTTGTTTTGTTAATTTAGAAAAAAAAATGAGGTGGCAAGTGATCTTGATCAAGATGCGGGCATTGGACACGAAAGCGTCATAACATTTTCAAATTATCTATTTATTAAGTTGTAGTGGATCGAAAGCACATTCGCTTGGTTTATTCTGTAACTAATGTGCCTATAAAATGTAAATTAAATGTAGGTCTTGAGTAAGTGACGATAATTGGTTAATTTGAAATTTCTAGTTTAATTGGATTAGGCAAATTTTAAATGAATGATCGTCCATGGAACTTATTATATTTTACTTTGATCCTACTGTGGAGCTGGCCTAAGACATGATATTAACCTTCACCTCATCATAGCAATAAGTGTTTTCTCTGTTTTAGGACTCCATTGCAATCACTTGTGTTGTGTTTAGGCAGTAAAGTGCCCAGTGAAATTAATATTATGTTGCACTCAGTATTATTGTTACAGATTAAGTAGGTGTTCAAAATTTTATGGAAGTTCCACATGATCTCCTACTGAGGCTTTCTCTTTAAAGTTTACTTGTTAAGTCTCAAAATGAATTGATATCATTTGTAAAATGTGTAGAAGCAGTGTAGTCCTCGCAACAATAGTGCAATTGCTGTATTAATTACTATATTATTATAAAATTATATGCAAGTTTTGCATTGTACAATTTTATTTTTTAGCTATGTATGTCAAATGATTTTCAATAATAAATATCACTATTTAAAGTAAGAAGTATATTTTTATTTTATTTCTTTTAGGTTTGCATTACGAAAATGTTTTTCTTTTACACTAACACTTTATTACCATCTAAGAAAGTAATGTGACTTAATCTATTTCATGTTTACATCGCTTGATGCTTTAAAATTATTGTTCATGGATTTGTTGCTCTATAACTTACTACTGTATAATATAATTAGCTGGTACAAATAGCAGCAAGATTAGAACTTATGTAATTGTCAGTGTCACTATAAAGTTTTAAATTCTTTCTCTATTTTCTTCTATATAGAGATACATAAGTTTCGAAGCAATTAAGTTTCAAATTATATCTTATAAAATTTTGTTGTACTATTTCTCAGGTGTGTACAATTTTCTGAAATATAAATTTTATTCAAATAATATATTTATCAGTTTATTTCATTAACATCCATATCTTTCTCTTTCCAGCATATTTCTTCAACATCAGTTTTACTTGTTAAAGTGTTTGAGATCAAGTTGTTGTGATTTTCCAGCTTGTCACTAATCTTTGATACAAAATCTTCATTTTTCTTCTGGTACTTCTGAATATCCAACTGTAAAGCTTTTAGATATCCTCGTTTTGCTGCTAAAATTTTCTTCAATCTGTTGACTCTAGCTTCATATTCTTTTGCCAATGACTCTAATAGTACTTTCTGCTTCTTCAAATTGACTACATCATTGGCTTTTAGCTGAGCTTTGACATCTGCTAGTTGTGGTCTCCTGTAATCAAACATAATATCATAAACAAAAAGTACATCAAAATATTTTGGAAATTATTATTACTACTGGTAGCAATACTTTCTTTTTACAGTTTATAATTTTCTATGACATTCTCATTAGTTGACGTGGACAAGTGTTAAATATGTGGCGCTACATCTAAAAAAATTAAACGATTTATCGAAAAGAAGAGAAGTCAATGTGGAATCTTTACAATTTGTCCTTTCGATTCTACATGCCCGAATAAGGTGTTTTGAAAACATATTGCACTTTGTCATACAAATTACCTCTCAAAAAGTGGCAATTAAGAACACAAATTGATAAAAAAATAGTCCACAACAAAGAAAAAAAGAAATACAGGACAAATTTAGAAAGGAGATGGGACTTATTGTAGATGTTCCTAAAGCCAATTTTGGTAATTTTAATGATGGCAATACTAGCAGACGATTTTTCTCGGACCATCAATTATCTGCCTCAATAACTGGCATAGACCCGAACCTAATGTTTAGGTTCAAAATTATCTTAGAAGCCTTGTCGAGTGGACATAAAATCAACGTTGAAGCATTCGAAAAATATGCAAGGGAAACTGAAGAAGTATATGATCAGTTATATGAATGGCATCCGATGTCCCCGACTATTCATAAAAATTTAAGACATGGAGCAGAAGTAATTTCATCAGCTCTACTCCCAAACGGTCAATTCTCAGAAGAGGCTGCAGAAGACCGTAATAAACATGTTAGAGATTACAGGCTAAATTATTCGAGAAATTTTTCCCGAATATCATGTAATCTTCACGTTATAAAGAGACTCTTATTAACGTCAGATCCTGTCATTACGGGCTTAAGGATAAGGTGTCAAAGAAGATATCGAAACCCTTCCAAAAAGAAACACTGAATTTATTACTACCTGCCGAACCGTCAACTAGTTGTTCATATTCAGAAACTGATTATAATACAAGTAGTGACGACGATGAATAATTTTCTGTTGTACGAGTATGTTATATGGAATCAATGATAGAAAATTAAATTTGTTATTATTGATACCCATAGGCCTTGTTTGAGACCAAAAATATTTTTGGCCAGCTTTTTGGGTCAAATACCCCTATGTGCGACGTTACAATCAGGTTGCACCGACTGTGTACTTAATACCTATTGTCAGTGTTAATTGCCGTAAATGTAACTATAAATTTTATATTGAACTACATTTTCAGTCTACTAAAAAACTTATTACAAATAAGTAATGGTAAATTTGGAAGTAATTATAAGTAAAATATTTGGCAAATAGCTTGGGCATTAAATTATTAAATGAAATAATTGCTAAGCTTTTTTTTTCTACAGCTGACCTCGTGTAAGAGCTTTTACACTGCTTATTCAGCAAGTCACCAAGGCATGGGTCTCATGGCAAAAGGGGTTATTGTCCTGAATATATAGCAATAAAAAAGGAAACTGAGGAACTAGCATAGTTTTGTTATTACTGGACTATGTATAGGCAGCAATATATACAAAATATACTTCTATAAAATATCTTTTGATGGAATACTACACTGCCGTTCTTACGAAAAGTGCAATAACTCGAGTTTTTGGTCGAATTAAGTGTATATTCGGAATCAGCAGAACGAGATCTATATAAACTCTTTAGACAGTTTTTACGTACCTATGACGGAGCCGGTTTTAACACTACATCTAGGTCCTTGTATTATGATTTACTTATCAAGACCGACATAACTATAGATTGGAATAAGTAAGTAAGTCAAGTTAATAATATTTCACTAACTATATCTCGATAAGTATAGTTATTACATTTATATTTAGCATATTTCGTTATTTATGATCTTCATTTACTACTTATTAGTGCAATACGTTTTAGTTATTGCAAATATGTTAAGGATTCTTGTAACTGATTATTTAAAGATTACTAAAATTTAGGTAATACGTAGATATATTGCACTTATTTGTAGGAAGAATCATCATCATCATCATCACATCAACAGCCTGTAATAGTCCACTACTGGACATAGGCCTCTCCTTAGAAAAGAGGTTTTGGCATGCCACGCTGGCCAGACGGGTTGGTATAGGGTTTGTGTCAAGTTTTGTAGGAAGAATAAGCAAATAAAATATCCTTAGGCAGAATAAAATGCCTGCCATTTATTGTGTTTATAGCTGGCACCAAAAGGCAAGGGGGTAGCAGAGGAGTGAAATAATAGGGTTTAAAGTATGAAATTGCCGTTATATAGTAATAGCTACTTGAATTGACATAAAACCTTCATGGTGTGACATAAGAGACACCTATGAGGTTCTTCTTTAAGAAATGTGCAATATTAGATTTTCGACTTTTAATTGTTTTTTTAATGGGCTTAGACATGAAAGATGGATACTTAGAAAAGCCGAGTCATTTTTAAATGTGGATTCCGACGCGGAACTAACTAATGAGGGTAAATATTTGATTAAATAAATATGTTACATTTTAAAAAAGGTTCAATTTTTCAGTACAAATCAGCAATTTCAGACTTAAACCCCTAATATTATTAGTGTATATTTGATGCTTTCTTTACACATAATACCATGTCCAGAAGAGACAAAATTCTTTCTTTCGCTATTTCAAAAAATCAAAATCACATGTTTCTCCACCTGGACCTACCGGTCACCAGCTAATTTCAAGTCAATCAATAATTAAATTGACTGCTGTTCAAAAACGTCTAATATCAACTGACCTAAAAAACATTTGTTTTTTTCTAATTGTAATAAGTTATAACTTTGTTGTTTCAAACTTGCCTCTTACTAATGAAAATCGCAATAAATAAGACACTTAAACCACTTATGGTTAGGAAACCGTTTATTAAAAATATTATTTGCTACTCAAAAATGCATCATGTTGGTTTTCTAAACATTAGTGCAATAAGTAGGTTATTACGGTTATGACTTATTATGTTTATAATTAGTAAACATTCTTTTTATGTACTAATCATACTAAACATAATTAAATTTATTGGTTTTTTAATGCGGAAATAAATGTATGCTCATTGAAGTGGGCTGAATTGTGAATCTAAACCACTTCTGACATATAAAAAATTTCATCAAAATAAGTCCAGCTGTTTAGGAGGAGTTCAGTCACTTACAAATGCACAGAAGAATTATATATATAAAGATGAAAAACAATGTCTTTGATTTTATGGCATAATAAGTACAAATAAAATAAATTTAAGCCTATAAATGTTTAGATTTATTAATTTTATAATTTGGTCTATTTCTTTTTTAATAGAAAATTAAAAAAGTAAAATAAGTTTTAGATCATCAGAACAAATTATAAACTTATATAAGGAAACAGGAATCTAGAAGAATTATATCAGTAGACAGTAATCTTTTCATCTAATTGGAGCATTTATACTTTACTATAACTTGACACATATTTGAAGGATCTTACTGATATACTGTGGGTTTTCAGCTAATGTCAGCTATGGTTTGAGGTATGTTAACTTTGAAACTATCGCATTTCATAATATTTAATTATTTTTCCAGGAGTTAACCTACTAACAATAACTATTGAGTACCTACCTTTGAAATGCCTAATGTTTCATCCAGGTTGAACTGGCTGGTGCAACCTGGTCAAAAAATCAGGTATTCTAAGGTATGTTGTCTGAGTGCAAGTCAAGTAGTATATAATTTTGAACACATCGATAGCATAACATTTTCTTTCCGTCTGAGAACCAATGACGAAATTATATAAAAGTTACCAACCACAAAGCTTTGTCAGGTTCTATGTCAGCAAACTTTTCTTTTTGCTTTTCCAATGCTTCCAGCTTCGCGGGCATATCTTCATATTCCCACATTGAGTTTAGTTCTTGAATCATTTCATCTAATATTCCTTGCTTTAAGCAATTGAACATAGGCATCCATTTTACGCGTCTAAGTTTGGCTTTGGGAACAGTTTCGAGAAAATCTTCATTTCTATAATAATATAAGAATGTAACGTAAGTAAATATAAATTAATATATTATTTTCCTATTATCTATCTATTATTTTCCATGCAATATAGTTTTGATATTTACCTGACTAAGTTTACAATGTTACTCAATTCTTTCAAAATTGTTAGATTATCAAAAGCAGGATCAGAGTTATTCACATCTATATCACTAGCATAATCTTCAATCTGTTCACCCATTTTGTTTTGTAAATAATTCACCGAAAACGACAATTATCAGACTAAAACTTATTTCAAATACTAACGTTCACCATCACACACTGTTTGACATTTTCACTAGAGACATTCCGATACTAGTAAATACGAGTACTTTTGATTCGATACCAAGTATTGAGTGTATTGAGATACGGACTATTGTTGTGAGGAAACTCAGTAGATGCTACTCGGGTGTTTTTATCCCAGAAGAGATGTGTTCGGGCTATGGTGGGCATTCCTCCTTATGAATCTTGCAAACTTTATTTTAGAAAATATGAAATATTACCGTTGCCTTGTTTGTACATCTTTGAAGTAAGTGTATTTGTTTAAAGTAACCCTAGTTTATTTAAAAAGGCAAAAGATATGTTCCCACGCAACACTCGGGGCAGTGAAAGGCTAGTCCTGGATTTTGTTCCCAGAACTACACTATTCCAGAAAAAATTGTTATAATATGTGTATCAAAATATTTAATAGCTTGCCACCAACCATAAAGGCGTTGCCCCTACTGAAATTTAAAAGGAAATTGAAAACATGGCTTTTGGAAAAAATGATATACTCAGTGACCGAATACCTAAACGAGCGATAAATACAAAAGCACCTGATAATATTTTATTGTATGTTGTGTTCTATATTAGAAATAAATTTTCGGATTAAAAAATTGACATTAGTGATGTCAGATTCAAATTTAATGCTGTCAAATGCACACCAAATTTAGTTCGACCTAACAACAGAATAGCATTTTGAAAATCGCTTGACTAAAATAAGAGAATTTTAGAGAATTTTTAGTTTAGAGATGTCAATAACAGAATTAGCACCATTGGAATTATATATTTGACATTAGGTAAATTGTTTATTGACATGAGCTTAGTAGTTTGTTATTAAATCAATCTTTTGTTGTAATATGCATGTACGTTTCAAATTTTGCATGTCAGAACAGACTGACGAAATATGTGATTCTCTTCTAATAACTATAAACAGCCCATGTACCATATTTCTGCAATTAAAGTGTCATTTCATTTCATTTCATTTCAAGTACTAATAGCATCGAATCAATCTTACGATACTTACTCAGTATCGAAACTTGGTATCGAATCGAATCGAATCAGATTGACCTTATTCAAAATATCCTAACTACCGAAAGCATCAGCAAAGCATATAGAACGAGAGAACGACAGCTCCCACTCGGTTATCGCTAAAGCGCGCCATTCATCGCGTGTGACGTTCGTGTCTCGCGCCAGGCGAGCCGAACCCGTCCGACTTTACCCAAACCGAAACCGAGAGAGCTACGATATCATCGTAATTATTTGTCACTGTCCAGTCATCAGTGTTCAGCACAGCAATATTAATAATTTGAACACACAAGTGATTGTTTACGACTAATTTAATTTATTGTTGTCATTGGTTTATTTTTCCAATGTTATCATGGCACCACCAACATCATTAACATGGACATATTTTAACAAAATAAACGAAACAATTGCAAAATGTAAACAATGTTTTAAGTCGGTGATGTATTGTGGCAATACGTCTAATTTATTCAGGCATTCCAGAACTCCTTTTTTTTTCTGTGCCGAGCTCCCCTCGGATACACCCACCAGTGGGTGATTATGTCGCAGGCGCATGACCAAAACCGCACGCCGTCTTCAGGTACCAGTAGCCGGAGAACCAGGTATACCTTAGAAATGAAAGCCCTGGTACCCCGACGAACCTCGGGCCATCTACGGCTTCTAAATGACTCCTCCTGTGTGGGAACCCTTTCTGCCCCGAAGGGCGTGCGCACTCCGTAGCGCGTCGCGCCATCACCCACACCGGCTTGCTTCTACTAGAGTGACAGATGGCCTCACCTGTCACCCTCAGGCGCGCCCGAGCCGTCTGAGGGTTCTGAACCTTCAATTCCAATTCTGAATTCCAAAAATTCCTGAAATTACTGCGGATAAAGGCAAATTACAGAAAATAGCAGATAATAAAGGCTGGCAAGGCGCTTGTGACTCCTGAGTTGCAGGCGTTCATGGGCGGCGGTAGTCACTTTCCATCAGGCGACCCGTCTGCTTGTTTGCCCCTGCGTATTATATGAATCATCTAATAACATTCAAGAAACATAAAAAAGAATAAAAAAGATCCATATATCTAAAATAAGAAAATTAATTATTGTCAATAGAAGCGATTTTTAAACATAATTATGTACTTTAATTGTCAGTCTTAAGACCTGACCTTAAGACAATTAAAGCCTGTAGAAACTATAAAGGGAAATCCAAATTTCTAAATCAATGAACAAATACATTATTGAAGAAACAAAAAAGAAAAAGTTCTCAGTTAGTTTTTAACTGAGAACCATCTTGACATTATTGATGACGTTTTGACTGAGAAGTCGTAGTTTCGTTGTACGTATATACGTGTAATTGTGTATGTGCCACAACTGCGATGGCCGGACCGTGGACACGGCGCTCCACACGCTGGCAGCGGAGCCCTTTCGGGAGCGCAACGGAGGCTATAGGGGTTCTCACACAGGAGCGGGTCATTTACTCGCCGTAGATGGCCCGAGGTACTTCGGCGTATCAGGGATTTCCTGGTACCCGAGACGGCGTGCGGTTTTTGGTCGGTTCGAGTCCGACATAACCACCGGTTTTCCGCAAAGAAAAAAAAATATAATTAAAAAAAAGTGATGCTTACAGCGCGAGATGGCGCTGTAAGTAATGCTTAATTGATACTGGAATATTCTTATTAGTCTGGAACGGACTATGAAATACTAGGGATCATTCTAGTAAATTCGTTCGTTCATATCATTTTACAACATAGTGAATTAACATCGAAAATACTTAAATTAAAAGTATTTTTGTAATAAAAAATACATTTAGGTATGTATATTAAACCACTAAATACATCGAGAGTTTTATTATACGCTCTTTCTCTTATAAAAGTACTAATGTGAGTTAATAACATCATAAAAATATTGCGAGTAATCTTGTGTTGCACCAACGCATGGAACTGATGTACGTGGAGGAGTGTTCCTGGGCCTTAATTCTGATGTTTTATGTTAACGCCAAGCCGCCATTGACATCGGTCATAATATCAGTATTCTACTAACATAAATTCACAGTGCCAATAGACTGTCAATATAGTAATATAGGTCATCAATGGTGATATCAACAACATTGAGGCCCTGAACGTATCGATTAGGAAGAGAAGCCGGCCGGTGCTACCGCAGACGTCGCGAATAGGAGGGGGGGCTCCTTCATACCTTGCCCCAGCGTTGCTCCTCTACCACCACTCGCGGAGCCAAACGGCACAATGTCCGCACGAGCACCGAATGTCGAACGTGCCCGTCGCCGAGCAGTAAATCCGGCGACGTTATCGCGGAGGACGCGAAAAACCTGGAGGTAGTGTCGAACACCGACACTGCCTCGGAGATGAGCGGAGCGAGTACCCCTATGGTCTCAGCTGCGGAGCAGCACCAGAAGGGTACTCCAAAGCGCAAAAGGCGCTCGCTTCGCCTGGGCCTGAAGAGGCAATTGGAGTCGGCCTCGAGCGATGAAGCCACGGCTCCCAAAGTCGGCACAAGCCGCAGAAGCGCTCGCGGCGGAGGCCGACTCCCCAAAGCCAGGGTAGCTCAAGGGAAGGTGCCGATCATATCCGCGGCACCGGGAGGGGCCGAGGATGGGGATCGCAGACGGAAGGGACAGGAGAGGATCGCGTCCGAGGGGTCGACCGCTGGTGTGAGGAGCGAGGGTGGGGGTGTTGACCTCGATGAGCAGCGAGGCAAGGCCGGCAACCCCGTTGACCGGATTGGGGAGGCAATCGGCGCGGCCGATTGCTTGCTTCAGACGTCCGGGGTGGCCGGGGGCCCCCAACAGGAGGCCCTTGTAGCGGTCGTGCGCTCCATATTCAGACTCCTCGTGGCCGAGAGCAAGGCCCACTTTAGGGAGAGAGACCGCCTCGAGGCGGATCTCGACAAGGCTCGTGCCCACGCTGGTGCCACACCAGCGTCTTCGGCACCGTTGGCGCTGTCCGCCCGTAAGGAGCCGGACTTAGTCCGAGTCATGGCGGAGATTGAGGAGCGGATAATGAGGCGCATATCCGCAATAGAGAGCGGCCGTTGTCACCCACCTCTGGCTCCGCCAAGGGCGACATATGCGGCCGCTGCCAGGGCGGGCCTAACAGCCCAGCCAGCAGCTAGGGTGGCTGGGCCGTCATCAGCGCCCCCGCCCCAGAAGGCCGGAAAGGGCAAAGGGGAAGGCGGCCCCTACCCAAGCCCTAGTCTCGGCCCCGGCTGACAGAGCCCAGAGCCCAGAGCGGCAGCGCCCGTTGGAGCGGGCCTGGGGAGAGTAAGAAGAGGCGGAAGGCCGCCAAAAAAGCGGCCAAGAAGGCAAGGAGGGCGCGGCGGCCGCCGCCGCGATGGGAGCGCCGAGGAAGCTCCGCGCCCCTCGCTACTCGGCCGTCATTATCACGCGGCGATGGTTGGGGATATAGCGGTCGTGGCCGCTTATTTCACGCCGAACCGAAACATAACTGAGTATGAGCAATGGCTCGCTCAGCTGGCCGTCGTCGTCGACGCCTGTCGCCCCCACCCGGTTCTTGTGCTGGGGGACTTCAACGCCTGGTCGCAGGCTTGGGGTTCCGTGTGCACGTACCCGAGGGGCAGGGCATTGGAGAACTGGGCTGAAAGATTCGGCCTAGTTCTTCGAGACGGCGAGTGTACGACGGCGAGGGGTAGTTCGATCGTGGACATCTCGTTCGCATGCCCCTCGCTAGCGTGTCGTGTCCAAAACTGGCGCGTCGTTGTCGGGGAGGAGACAGGTTCGGATCACCGATATATTCGGTTTGACGTTTCCCCCCTACAGATGGCGCGCCGGTCAGACCGGTACCACCTGAACCACGTTGGGCGCTCAAGCCGCGACCGCGACCTCCTCCTGGAAGCCGCCATCGTACAGGCCTGGGCCCCTGCGCCGGACAGGCCTGTCGACGTCGATGCTGAGGCACAGTTGTTCCGGGAGGCCATGAACCGCGTCTGCGATGCGGCGATGCCTAGGGCTCAGCCCAATACTGCGAGGCGCCAGGTCTACTGGTGGTCGCCGGAGATCGCAAGGCTACGTCAAGCTTGCGTGACCGCGCGCCGCCGGTGATCCGGGTTCCGCAGGAGGCGTCGCCGCCCCGAGGATGCGGCAGCGAGAGAGGCGGAGCTGTTAGCGGGGTACAGGGTTGCCAAAAGGACCCTTCAGGCAGCGATAAAGCGGGCCAAGAGCGAGGCCCGCCGCGAGATGCTGGAGACGCTGGAGCGGGATCCGTGGGGACGCCCCTACCGTATGGTTAGGGGCAAGATGCGCCCATGGGCCCCGCCGCTCACTCGGTGTCTTCAGCCAGAGCTGCTTGAGAGGGTCGTTGGCTCCCTGTTCCCAACGCGAGGGGTGGAGCATACTCCGCCACAGATGGGTCCGCCTCCGGCGCTTGAAGCGCCTAACGTGGATGACGACGACGTGCCTGAGGTCACTGCCGGTTGGCTGGTCACTAAAAACACCGCCCCGGGACCCGATGGCATTCCTGGCCGAGCGTGGGTCCTGGCCTTAGTCGACGAGGCTCTCGAGCCCCGACTGCGAGGGTTCTTCAGCGCATGCCTCGAGCGGGGCCAGTTGCCGAAATTGTGGAAGACGGGGAAACTGGTCCTCATCCGAAAGGAGGGGCGCCCGGCGGACTCACCGTCCGCCTACCGGCCCATAGTATTGCTTGACGAGGTGTGCAAGCTCTTTGAAAGAGTGATTGCAAGGCGCCTCGTCAACCATCTCGTGATGGTGGGGCCGGATCTGGCGGACCACCAGTACGGTTTTCGTCAGGGACGCTCTACCGTGGATGCGACCATGCGCGTGAAGGCTCTGGCGGAGGAAGCAGTTTCCCGGGGCGAAGTGGTGTTGGAGTGTGAACGCGTTCAACACTCTGCCCTGGAGCTGCATCAGGGAGGCGCTCGTGTATCACGAAGTGCCTCTCTACCTCCGCCGCATAGTGGGGTCATATTTGTCGGAGCGAGCCGTCGTCTACCCCAGTAGGACCGGTCTCGGTAGGCGTGAAATGTCGTGCGGTGTTCCACAGGGGTCGGTGTTAAGGCCACTCTCGTGTAACATCGGCTAAGACTGGGTGCTTCGTGGTGCCTTCTTGGATGGTGTCGCCGTCGTGTGCTACGCGGACGACACGCTCGTGACGGCGCGCGGCAAGACGCACCACGAAGCAAATCCTGAGGGCCACGGCCGGTGTTGCCCAAGTCGTTGAGTTAATCCGGCGGCTGGGTCTCGAGGTGGCTCTGCACAAGTCCGAGGCCCTGTTCTTCCACGGGCTTCGGAGGAAGCCACCTGAGAGATCTAGCCTCACGGTAGGAGGCACTCGCGTCGGCATCGAGCCCTCGATCAGGTATCTGGGCCTCGTACTCGATGGCCGATGGGACTTCGGATATCATTCCCGAGGTCTGGTCCCCAAGTTGGTTGGGGCAGCGCGTGCGCGGACTCCTGCAGGAGACTCTACTCGGGGGTTATGCGGTCCATGGCCCTTTACGGGTGCCCAGTATGGGCGGGGGCCCTGAAGGCCAGCAACGTCGCGATACTGCGACGACGAGTGCTGGCCATCAGGATCATAAGGGGGTACCGCACAATCTCCTTTGAGGCGGCGAGTCTCCTGGCCGGAACTCCACCGTGGGACCTGGAGGCGAGAGCCCTTGCGGCTCTGTATCAGTGAAGCAAGGAGGCGCGGGAGTGCTAACGCCTGAGTGCCACCACTGCGATGGCCAGACAGACTGAACGGGACGGGTTTTCCCCTCCACCCGCCACAACGATCAGCCGCGAGGAAGCGATGTTCGCGTGTGTCGGACGTCGCCTAAATAGAGAATGGCTAGAAGGGGTCTGGATGTCCTAATAACAGCAGTTCCCGGATTCCTCCTATTACCGGCGCAGAGTGGCACACCGTGTGGTTTTAGTCGGTCCGATTCTGACACACCACTCCGCCGCAAACCCCGGTGGGGAGACGGACCAAAGGGGTTTCCACACGTTAAAGAAAAAAGCGTTGCTCCTCTAAGTAGCTGAGTTGACTTACTGTTACTATTTGTTACACACATTGCATCGTTTTTAAATAGGTGCTGAAAGTTTAATATGAAGAAAACGTGTAAATAGGTGAGTTTTATCTTTTATTAACTAAAACTTTTATTTTAGCACTAATCTCAATATATCATTGTATATTATATGGTTTGTAGTGGAAATAAACATATTTTTATAGTGTTGTGCATACATGCATGGGACAAACTTACATTATACTTCCGTGTATACGTCTGCATTATCTGGTTATAATATGTGTGTGCATTGAAACATAAACATCACACAAAGATAGGCACAGAACCGGCGGCGTGCGAATATGAACATTACGGTTCTACTGCATTAAATTTATGACCATTGACTACAATTTTCATTTATTTTTTCTCAGTTTCAAAATATTTGTTTGTCCCACCTAGAGATACTCGTATTCTTGTTCACCTACCTACATTCTGTTCTGAAAAACATGTTCGTTCGTCAGACATTTGCATGTCGCTGAAAAGTCAATTTTGGATACAATAGGAAAACTAAAACAAAAATGAAATTTTCGATTTTATTGTTTTTTTTTAATTTATGGAATAAATAAAAATATTTAGGTAATAAAAACAAAACTTTTGTAACAAGTTCATATTCGTGGCAGTGACTATGTTATTGCAGTCTTTGAGATCTTGCGTGATCACTGATCAAAATAATTATTTGTTATTTACTTAGCTTTGTAATTATATTTATATTATTGTTGTAACATAGTCAAAGTATAACAGACGTTTATAAAATATAAATTAAGTACTTATAATGATGTGCATATCTTAAAATATTTGTGGGTTCGATGTCATCTCCCTTAGAACGCAGCGGCTGAAAAAAATAAAAGTTGAAATAAAACCCATTTTCTATAGTTACTCCTAATCAAAAACTAAATTTAGATTCTGATGAGATTTCGTTTTGAGTAGCGCATTTATAATTTTAGCATTTTTATGTGAAACCTTAAAAAGGTGAAATTTTAAAAGGGACTCTGTATGAGTCACGCAATATGTCAGATCAAGGTTCAACTGCAACTTTACTGTTCAATGATAATAACTAAACTAAGAATAGGTGCGTTGCAGTTATTTCATTTATCAGACATGATATTGAGTTTACAATTATTCAACTCAAAATATCTTTATTTCATAATTTTTTTTTATTGAAATCGTCTTTTTGTAGACTCTAAAGGCATAGATCAACACACATAATAGGAAAAATCTCTGTTTTGTCAAAAAAAAGAAACAAAAAAATATAATAAAACTATACCTATCGAAAATCTACTATATGTCTGTGCCGATCTACAACCGCCCGACGTAACCCTAGCTTTTTTGCCTTAGTTTGACTGAGTGGAGAAAATGTAAAACGAAGTATTTCTATCTTACTGTAGAATAATAAAATTCATTCTAAACCTAAGAATACACTGTGTAGAATTTACGTAGAGCTGTCTGTATGATGACAGTTCAAGATATACTTACTGGTCAATGAAATATGGAAAAAATTAAGTGGTCGAAAATTGTACACCATAGCCTTACAGATTGACCAAAATTATTAGTGAGGGACGTAATCTTGGGTTTCTTGTCTTTATTTCCTAAACTTACGACTAACTTATTGTAAAAGTTTACAACATTCATTTTAACAACGTTTTGATTATGTTTTTTTTAACAATCAGACAAAAATATCAAAAGAACATGCAAGACTTCACGACTTCGATTTTCAAATCTATGGTCATTATCGTTGAAACACTTCAACTCGATGACAATGTTTTTAAGTAACGAGGGTTTTCGATGCTTTTTCAGCCACCAGACGGCGCTTCGTATGCGTCAGGTCCAAACAGCTGTCAGATAGCACAGATTCTTACCGAACATATATTTTTTTAGTGAAATTCTATAAATTTGGAAGTGTTATTGAGTTTATTATGGATTAAGGCCAGAGAAAGGTTGCCGCACTGAAGATTGAGTTAAAAAAGAGAGGCGCAAAAGTCACTGATACTAAAGAACTTATCCCCCTTAGCTCTAACTTAGCCCTCCTGTATTATTTCCACACATAGGCTCTGCACAACACTGTGGCATTTTAGAAAACAATATTGCTTTTGTAACGTTTTTAAGAATGAATAAACCAAAACACAGGTGGTTGGACCTGACGCTACAGTGCTGCCATCTCACGTGGAACATTTCAGAAAACCCTCATTTACATGAAAACATCTTCATAATCTATTTTTTCATCAATCATTTTTTGTTGCAAGTTCATCCAATAAAAAACCACAAAAAAGATCGGTTACAACTATTAGCGTATTAAAACATGATAAAGTTGTGAGATGTGTAGTAAAAGGGTCAAACTTTTTAGAATAGATGCATTCTGGTCTCCTTTTAGCGTGCACAGAAATTGTAAAGATGACAATGAAAATGAAACATTGTGCTTTTATGATATATCTTAAATACAAACGATACATGAGCAAATGATATTTTAGATTTTATGAAATGATTCTAAATCTAATATTGCATACTACGTAAACTATGTTCTAAGAACAATTTCAAAATAATGACTGTGATGGAAACAACACTATTTAAAGATAAGTTTATGATAAATAGTACACAAATACATTTGTGATTTTCTACAATAACGATTTGGTCTAGTGGTAAACAAAAGTTGGTGAACTACAGCTATGATCACAATAATGTATCTACCGAAAATGAGGAGGACATAGACAATAGGAGTCAAACTAAATTCAACACGAGGTACGAACGATACCTGCTGCTGTTTTATTTTCGAAATTTATAGACTACGAATGAACGGTAAAGTCTTGCTTAATTCGTCCACTGTGAACTGGTCATCCACCATTAAATCTGCCGTAATCAGAGAAGTTGTATTAAAATATCATAAAAATGAAGATTAAATACAAAATAAACACTGTAGTTTTTTTATTCATAAATACTCTTTTAAGCAGATAGTCTTCCCCAGCGACTTTGATCTCCATCTAGAAGTTATGTTATGCGAGTTAAAAATGGTGGTAGCAATCCATGTGCATTGTGCATGATGTAGTTGTTTGAAGGCCAATTTGTACAGCTCAGACACCAATAAAGCTGTAGTAATATCTATTTGCGTATTTACAGCGAGCCACTAACCTAACGGCCTGATTGGATGTTTGTCCCAAAGGAAGGTGCGTTTGACTGGCGACAGGTACGAATCCCGGATGTAGGAAGGGCTGCGATCCCATCTAGCAATAGGCTTCAGTTCCGGCCAGTCGTACCAGAAGGGGTCCCGTGTGATCGCCGAGATCGGCAGTGAGGGGCTCGGGTTGAAAATGTCAGCCCATGGCCTTCTTCGGAGTCCACCAGCATTGAAGAGCGGTGCACCTATATGCCAGAACTATAATTTTTATTGCCGGGACAACAGACTTAAAACCAGCTGTACTTCGTCATAGCCCGCCCATACAGTGTTAGCAAAGCCAAGCTATAAACACAGCTGCGTGATGGTGAGTCTAAATTATTGTTAGTTAATTAAGAGTTTAATCGATAAATACTTATAAGTTTTTAGAACATCTTTGGGATTTATAGTTAAACACATAATTGAATCAATTATATGTAGTTGACAGTAACAGTGTCTGTAAACAGACTAGGTAAAATACTTAAGTATACTATGATTTCATTGCATAATATTTATAAATTTAAGTTTGTTTGGCAATTTAAACTACCGTAATGAAGTTGGAACAATATGTTTAAAACTACTAAAGTTGAGGAATATAGATCATTGTCACGTACGTGATCTATATTACCCTATTATTTTCTGATTACACTATAATAAATTAAAATTAAGACAACAAATTAAGTAATAAGACATAAATTAATAAAATTCAGTTAAAAATTGTTTTTAAACTTGAAGATGTAGGGATGGAATATAATCTCAATAATTTTTTATAAATCATATAAATCACACCTGTGACTACTTTACGAAACCATTGCGACTTATGATTTGGCTAGCGCCAGACTTGCGAAAGGTTTAATCTAAAAAAAAGGTCGGTCTTGATTAAAAGTTTGATTTTTGAAGTAAAACTTCTTTACGCACGCTTGACTAGGGGAGTAAGCTGGTGAAAGCATGACGAGATCGGTGTGATCGGGTGAGGCGAATGGAAGTTAAGAAGGAGATATAAGTTAGTGCAGATAGAGAGAGAGTTACGTTTCGTATATATCTGTAGGGGCAAGAGGAAGAGGTGCGAGCAAACATTTTCTTTCTTTCACTTCTTTAAAGAAGTTTTACTTCAGTCGTGTGGTCTAGTCTTTTTTCTTTTGCTTAAGTTTTTGGTGACATTTATCTTTGTCTATGACCAAATCCATGTAGTGATTTTGCACAGATGATATCGCTGTGATTAAAATTAACCATTCCATCATATGATTATGATTTAAAAGTAGCAATAATTTCCATCACTGGTGCCTTCACATTAGAGTTGATGATTTGACTAAAGAACCATTTTTAATCCTAATACCCGTGAGTTCAGTACAGTAACCTTTAAGTAATCTTTCAACATATTCTTTTATTTTAAAATACTGATGAAGGTTTTTAGTACATTAGTCTTCAAATTTGTAGATTGATTTAAATTTTATTGTTATTCTTATTTAAAAATAGATATTTTTTTGCTACAAATAAATGCCAGTGTACATTTTATACAAAACACATTTTATAGTCAAATCAGCAAACAATATGAGTATTATTATTTTTAATGAATACGGCATGCGTGAGAAAGCCAGAATGTATTACGAGTATACAAAAAGAACACATACACTCATTGTACATTGTTAACTTTTCTAACATACAGAAGGATTGTACTTGTGAATAAAATGGTCTCAGTTTCTTATTCACCCAGATGGGATAAAATTGAATAGGTATGATTATCTACGTGTAGGTTACATACTAATAACAGATGCTAAGTCTCACACAGCTCTGAGGTATTAGGTGCTACACTGGGGGCTTCGGACGTTAAGACTTTGCTTTTATATTCTAGAATAATCGTGAAACTTAAAAGAAGAGAGCTCGTGACGAAGTTACAGGGTGTACAGGATGGGGTCTGTTGCCCTTACCGTCGGCATCGTAAGCAACCTCGCAGTCGCGCGGTGGACTTATCCTTGGCTTCACAGGTGTTGGGGACTTCCCTCGGAGTGAGCGATCAAAATCTGCCCATTTATCGGCTTCAGCGAAAAATGGGTCCTTTTTGAACGCGTCCGATATCCTCGCTGGCCACGCTCCTTCACGGCAAGTCTCATAATCAATATCATTCTCAGGCATAAATACGAGTATCAGGGATAAATCGATGTTCTACCACGTGCACCGAAATAAAATAAGGTCAGATTTAAAAAGACAACTATTTCTGATTTTAATCATTGTAGAGTGTAGTGTTCTTATTAATGTTTAGGATGAACGTCAGTTTACATTCTGGAACGAATGTTGTTTTGCGCATATTTACAACGCAGATCATGCAGACAAGTTCATTAAAATTATTATTTTTGTGAAAATTTGAGAGGCCTTCATATATTTATGTTGTATGTTTTTTTATCAAGTATATTTTTCATACCTCCATGACGTATATGAAATATATGAAAGTCTCGAACACAGTTTTTGCGATCACAATGATTCCTGGCGATTTTTATGTGTATGTCTAACTACCATTGGTATGATTAAGTAATGGTAAAAATTACCCACACCGAACCTTAGTAGTCTAGACTACTTACAAAGTCCCTGCCATGGTAACTTGCTAACATACCTACGAGTACGTGGTTAATAAGTGTGTATGCGTTAACGTTAACACTCGTAATAAGAAAACACATAACAATTTTGTGACTTGTTTTAAAAAACTTTTTTTAATTTCACTTTAATAGTGAATTGGGAAAAACTGTTATCTACATGAATTTTTCACAATTAATTAATATATACTCATTATAAAATTGAAATGGTACGTTTAAGCTAGTTAACAACGGAGAGGTACTAAAACTACTAAATCAAAATACGGATTGGTCTTTTATGTTTTAATACAAATATATCGTTGTGTTAGTTTAATGTTCTTAAAACTTTGTACTATTCAATAAGTTATTTGGAAGTATAAAATTATAGCTACGTTATATGTATGTAAACAAATAAAAAGTAGATTTTGCATGTAACGTTTATGTAGATAATTTTTACAATAGGATGTCAATACAAATACCTAGTGTATTGTCGATTTGATTGAAATCATAACTTTATACCAAAATGGGTATATTTACAATTTTGAATTAAGATCGTATTATTTTTAACAATTTCGAATAATTAATATCAACATAGATTTCTTCTTATAAAAATGGTATAATTAGATAATAATGCGTTATAGGTACGTCTTAATAATGTCAGATAGCGTCACTTTACACATATAAGATTCAAGTAAATTGAACTTTATAGGTGTTGCCTATCCATATAGTGGTGATAACTTTTAACAATCTGCATCCACACTTTGTGCTGTATTCGGGATATAACAATTACAAGAGTTATCTTTATACAGATAATATAATTATATAATTGATATTCCTTACTTAGCATACATTGTGAACCAGTTAATATGCCGTGATTGCCCTGTACTTTATTTACAAAAACAGTCGTACTCAGACACGCAAGACGACTACAAAGCGTCTTTATAAATAAACATCGCACAAGTAAACCGAGGCAGTATTTAAATTAGCTTATTCTAAACTGATCGTGCATTTATGTTGTTAGAATAATTTACCTGTTCCCCAGTGCGGCTTGTTGTCTGGCTCATACTCGATGCCTTTAAGGCTCAAGGGCTGCGAGGGTTTAAAAACGGGAGCGCTCAAGTCAGTGATGGGGTATGCTCGGTCCTTCAGGTAGAGACCATAGCGAGAGGGGTACAGCCGGTCGATGGCAGCCAGCCTGTCAAGATGGTCCAGCCAAGCCTTGTGGGCGTCGAAGGGGTCAACGCCACGTCGAACGCGCCTCGGTACATGATATACTGTCAGAGAAAATATTTAAGCGTTATTAAATACGTTTTTGCTTCTTATAGTGAACATATAATTTTATGGGTTGTGTTCAGACATTACGTCGTTGATGTTACACGTTACGTTAGTTAAACATTAACGTGTAACGGTTGCACTTAAGTATCGAAAATTCAAGAAATAGAACAAATGTGTGAAAAGAGGCAGACAGGATACATGAGCTGGTACGGGTTAGTTAAATTTAACGATGTTGTGAGCTTCCAGCGTTGTGTGGAGCCAATGCGACCAGCCTCTGTCATCACTGAAGTTTTTATTTCATGTAGTCTATCTGCCTCTTGACATCATTTGAAACACCACTATTCAATTTCAAACACTAGATTCGTTAACAGAATCATTTTTCTGAAGGTATTCATAGCCACAATGCGTTGTGTTTCTATAATATGACAGCCACGACACGAATTTGGCCATGTGGTCTGTGATTGCCACAACACGTTGCTCGTGAGTGTTTTTATAAGAACCATAACATGAATTTCGTGATGTAGATATCTTATAATGACCACAACGCGTTGTGATTTGTTTCTTCGCTCAAAAAGCGTTTTCAGTCTATGAGCGTAACAAAAATATATGAATAAGAACAGAGCATTTAGAGACATTCACACATATTTTTCTTTTCGTAGAAGGTTAACAGAATATAAGAGCAAACTGTAATAAAAAGAATGGTAGTTTGCGGATAGAGAAATCAGATAAAAAGATGTGAATGTAACAGAAAGTTTAAAGTTCATATTGTAAATGAATGGTTTAATACGAACTTGATGAATTCTTTGTTGAATTTACACTTCCTTAAATGAAAAGTAAAGTCAAAATAAAACTTGCTCTTATGTTCACATTTATGGTCTCATTTCACATATTTTGATTAATATATTCTTTATTACTCCAATAATAATATTATATTGTATTATAATATTAAGTAAAGTGAATACAGTGGTCTGTTTTATCGCTATTTTTTAATTTAATTTTAAGATGTATCCTTTAAAAGTTATATAGACCTTAGCCGTAGCCAAATTTTATATTTGTAGATGACATAGAAGTTGAAAAAAACGTTTTTGATGATTTGCCATCAATCAGTTAGTCAGCTAGTAACGTCGTATATAAAATTTTATTTCAAAAGCTTTATCCAACCCTCAATTAGATGGTGTCTAATTATGGCTCTAAATACTTTGCATAAATATGGCACTGGACCATTTTGAACTCATTAAGTTGTCCGTGCACCTTTCATGAGCTTAGACACATTCATATATAATAATATTCTTTTATATCAAAGTAAAGGTGTAAAAGAATAAAATCGTTATATATATTAATCATCTGTAATAAGTTAGTACTTGGTTAGTAGATGCAGAGCAAAAGCATAACTTGCCAATGAGTACGACAGGGGTTTTACTGTAAAGTCAGACAAATGGTCATAGAACTCACCTCTTCATTAACTTGCCGGGAGGGCTTGGAAAATCCAAATCAGTGTGTGTCAGTCATTTTTGAATATTAATACACAAGGTTTTATAAAAAATGGGATAAGAAAAAATATATCACCTGACAAATGCTAGAAGATCGATACAATATAAACAGTGACGTCGATGTAACATTCATGGATTTTGGATGTGTGAAGTGATATTATGTAAAAGAGGTGATTTCTATAAACTGGTTACATGCGTATTATTAGTAAATAATTTAAATTGCACAAGCAACAACAACTAATGCCAACCATTACAGATATACGTTATATCTAGATATTCATCCTGCCTTCGATGTTGATATCTGCTATCACTCCCAAAAAATGATATAAGAATACAAATTAATATTCATTTATAATCACCTAAGACATAGATGAAACAGAGAACATATAGCGATTGGTTACGTATGTACTAAAGTGTTTGAGTTGACGAATAAGAGATAAAAAACAGTAGTGAATGTATGTGCCTCCATGTGAGTAATGTTAAATCGATTCACACAATTGCAATCTCCGAGCTTATGACAGGTTTTACGTTATTATTTGATTTTAATCCTTTATTTATAATATAAAACTTTATTACATAGTAAAATATATAAACAGCAGAATAGCCCGCTAGAACTTGTTACAAAGTTAATTACAAACTTTTAATTGTTGTGAATGATAATTATAATTGACGACCATTTTTCATGGCATGATGTTTCACAATGATCTAAATTTTAAGTTGGATTCATAACGTTAGGAGTCCTGATAGTTATTTACACTGCCGCGAACTCGACTACACCTTATGCGCTGAAACAAAATTTTCAAATAGTTCTACAACTACAGTGATTTTTGGAGGGCCAGAGAAAATCATTAAGATTAAATCACTATAATATTTAGTGACAAGAGCATCAAAGCAAGTTATTTGATGAATTCAGTATATTTATTTACAATATTATTTCAAACTGAAAATATAAAATAATATATACAATTTAAAAAAATACTAAAGTATGTCTTGCTTAAAATAAATTGATTTATTTTAAAGAGGACTACTTTATCAAAGGTTATTTTTTTGATGCCAAATTAAAGTGTCATAGTGAGTGATGCACTTGCCAATCGATTGACCACATAATTGGTCCATCAAAATCTATCAACACGAGCTATTTTAGTTTGATCAAGCTTAACACCAATTAATAAATTTATCAATTAATCAATCGATTGTCTCAATTGGCAAGTCGGTTTGTGTAGCTTGTGAGCATCTGTTGTTGTAACTATTGAAGTAAATTGTACTTACTTGGCCTGTACGCTTCGAGATTGCGGGAGTAGTTGTGGGTGTAGATCGGGCGTGGGGAGTATCCGTAGACTTCGCGGTGGACGGGCAGGTAACGGTATCCGGGGACGGTGATCCTCTCGGCAGCACCAATGGGGTCGTCGTAGATCGACTTGGTGTAGGGGTAAGAGCTTGTGAGTTCAGGGAACACACTGCGGCGTGTAGGCCTGTACCTTTCCTCGGCCCTGATATCTTCCGATCCTAAACAAATTTATATTTTGTAGTTAATTATAATTTATTCTTGAAGTCTTAATTTTTTTTTTTAAATATGAAATTTTATTCAAGACTGACCTTTGAGAGACCGCACGAAGGATTGCCAGAATCTGGCTTTCTTCGATGGCGTCTCGTTTCTGCCAATCATCTCTAAATGATTTTTAAACATTTTGGCGGTCTATGTCGTGCTCGTATCTGTAACAAAATAGAATTTAATATTTGTTTGGTTTTTAAACGAATGTACATAGTATTGATCATATACTATATTTTGTACAACACTATATTTTGTCAATGTCCTTTGTCACTTTGTGAAAATTTAACCTTGAGTTTGGCAACGTATCTTAAATATATCCAGGTGACATAATTGTCTACAATGGTGTGCTCTTTCCACGTAAATAGACCAGTGACGTACGTAGAGTTAGCAGCGCAGCCGCAAATAGCCGACGTGGTGGCTGGCTGCTGTGTCGAATGGTCCGTGGACTTGGACACCCGCCAACTAAACTAGTGTCGAGGAGAAACTTAAAAACAGACGTTTTTACGAATCTTTACTCATTGATTAGTTATTTTCGAGTTTGTTACGACCTTGTTGCCAGCCTCGACGTAGATAAGTCAGCGGCCTGTCACAATTCCTAATCACGTAATCTCCCAGTCTTATGCAGAGAAGAATAACTTTAGGACTAGACCTCAATGTATTTAAGGAAATAATGTCATTGTTTCGTACAGTATTTTCTTTACATTTATTATTTTTTTATTTATTACATTTTCAAGGATGTTTTAAAAATATTTCTGTCTCACTGTACTTTAAAGAATGTGCTGTATGGCTGTGATTTATTATCTAAATCCATTCTAGCCGACTTATTTTATTACGAATTATTTTATTATATATATTATAAGAAACGAGACTAAATGTACTGGTTTAAAAGTTATTGACGTATTTGTAATCAGCAATGGGTAGTATTACGATTCCAGATATTGTTTAATTTATATTCAAGCTTCAAGTCCAATTGTGCGTTGTAATGAGGTAAACAGATTTAGACATCTTGTTTGTTCAAAATTAGTATATTTTTAGAAAATAATCGAATATTGATGACTTAAGAATTTATAAAGTAACGAATCGTAACAATAACATAAATATGTTACTACCAAACATATCAGGTAGGATAAAAAAGTTTTCTGCACGATTGTGGACTTGAATTTCATTTAAAAGTACATACATCGGAATTGTTTTATGAATTCCTTATTTTTTGTCATTTTTTTTATAATGTATACAGAAAAAGCAACAAATGCTAAACCAAGATGTTATTGATTTTTGCTCTTTTTTAAAGTACCCCACATCAAATAGTGAAACAACGAGTTCCGGCAGTGAAAATTAAAATCTTGGCACAAAAATTTTCGTATTGAAATTTTCATTAAAAATGTACGGTTTTACTCAAGTATTTATTTGAATTCTGTTACAAAAATACGAACGGGGTTTGTTTTTTTAAATGTTGCTTACTAGACAACCTTCAATGATCAGAAGATAAGACTGACTACACTAGACTGAATATAACACACAAAACATTGAATCTTAAACTATTTCGTGGATGTTATTTATGTTGTTGACTATAGTTTATGTTTAGCGTGGATCTGTTTTTTAATTCGTTAATATGTAAAAAAGGTGCAGTGGATTTAAAGCAGAAAAGACAGCTAACTATTATATCTCATTTCTTAATATTCTCGTTTGCAATTTCCATTGTGTGCTTTTATGGTTTTTTTTCATGGCTAATTTAGTAGGATGAAATCATATTGATTAACCTTAATTAGCTTCGCTTAGCTGAAATATTAAATTGCGACATTAAGGTTTTAAAGAAAAACTAGTTATTATGTAGTAAGTATGTCAACAACAAAATAAACTGTCAATTTTGTTTTCATTATTGAAAAAGCCTTTGCCTGGAAAAAAAAGCATTCACTGACATCTCCGTTTGTCTTAATTTTTGTTATTTTGTGCTTGTAGTGAATAATACTTACAACCGTAACACGCATATGTTGGTAATCAGCAATAACACTAAATCTTAATAACCCTAAATAACTGTTTATGAGGATTACAATGTGGCATTGCCAAGTGTCAGAGTTTTTAGAACTTGAGACGAGAACAATATCCATAAGTTGTTAAACAGCTTCATTAGTGTTAAAAGCAATTATAGAAGTCCTCTTTATCTTTGTAGATAAATTTATCTATGATTACAATCTTATTAATGTTCAGCTTCAACTTTTGATTAATGGCTTTGTAGTATAGGTGACCAAAATTTCGTCAATGTCATGTATTTGAAAGACAAATTGTCAAATGATTTTATGTAGAGCTGTGGTACTGCCAAAAGCAAAAAAAATTGAGAAATTGATGAAAGAAGAAGAATGCTTATTAATGTTATCAAATCATCAATAAGTGCAGACCGTGCGTCAGTAATAAAACTGTCAAACACGTCAAATTCTTTCTGGTATGGCAAAAAAATGGTTTATATTCAGCTCTTAAACATCCTAAATTTAATTTATGTGCAAGATTTATTTATCACTGAAAACAAAGCCTCGTAAAAATTTATATAATTATCAATTATTCATTAGAAGAATAATTATTATTGTAACTTTGGGTACAATTTATGATTGAACTTTATCTTAAAAAAATAATGCATGGATTTTAAATTCATGTTGGATACTAATAAATTTAAACTATATATATATATCAAACGTAATCAAACGTTATCGATAATAGATTACTTAAGTTTAGTGTAAAAAAGTGTGTATAATTAAAAATCAGATTTTGTTAACTTAGGTGTTTCATTTAAGTCTCATGAGTTTGTAAAACCATAAACTTATATTGTTGTAAACTGGGTCAATGATAAAGGCTAAAGGCCAATGTCAAATAGTATATGTCCATCTCCATACTTGATTCCATAACATTTTATTTAGAGAGTTAAGGTCTCTGAAAATCCACGATGTTCTGTATAAATAAGTGGTTTAGTATTCATCGACAGATTAGCTGTTAAAAAACTAGTTGATTGTGAAACGGATACAAAAATACATAGAGGCGCGTCGGCCGTGTCGATTTGGCGGGATTGCAAATTTGGCGCGGGATGAGTGTTGCCAAAAATAGGTGCGCGCGCGAGCGGATCGGATTCACAGCATTCCCGGAGCTTTGTCACACAGGTGCACGCGTTCTGCCACACCTATATATCTTTTACGTGATAGGAACATAATGCATATATAATAAAGCGTTTACCATCTGAAATGTTTAATTTTATTTACGAGTTTCCAAGAGAACTATGCTAAACCACAGTGATAGAACTGTTAAAGTAATGACATGACAGAAAGTGGGTAGACATGAAATAAATAAAACGTTTACGTCATAATGAAACTACAAAGTCATCAGAAAGATGACTTACTTTAACAAACGATACAAAATTTTAAGTCTTTTATTTTAGTTAAATCGCATCACTTTTTAAATCGAAACTTTTTAAGTGAAATTACAATGTTCAGTCAAGATACATGTTTAAAACTATATAATGTGAATTACTATTTTATAAAATAATATTTGTATATTTTAATTTAATACACTAGATTAATAATTTAATAACTTATTTCATAAATAAGTTTGAATATTTATAAGATTTAAAAAAAAATAGTTTAACACAATGTTTACTTTTGCTCTCAGATATGTGAAAAAGCTAATTGGAAAGACATTTTTTCTATTCACCTGTTTTTATTGATTGTTCCTCACTTGTTTATAACGAGATGTTGACTTACGTGCAGCTGAGCGAATATTACCCTTTTATTTCCGTTTATCTCGACTTATCACCCGCGAGATTATGAATAAGACTTAATCGCGGAGTCGCTAAACGATCGAGATGAAATTGCAATTGCGCAAGACTAGAGCGAGACGGCGCTACACACTGGGGGTGACAGCATGCGCAAGACAAACACCCTGCGCAAGCACACTTTTGGCACAACCCTTATAGACTTAGCTTTGAAACACTGGGCAGTCTCTTACCGATTAAATAATGGTCGTTAATAAAAGAGTAGTGTGGTTTCGTTGACGAGCCGACGTCGAGTGTCGGACCTGGGCGGGCGCGCACTGGCCGCGGGCGGGAGCGAGCCGCTCTTGCCGGCCGCCCGCCCCGTCCCGCGGCCCGCAAGCCCGCCCGCCCAAAGCATTCAATAAACATTTCATGTTGCCTATGTTTTATTCCGTGGTTTATAACTCATGTACATTATGTATTTATATGATATTATGTTTATATGTGTATTCCCGGATGCAATATTACTACTAATCAAATTAATAGATTCATTGAAAATGTCCATTTTGTAGAGTTTATAGGTAATTAATTAATATATCAAATAATTTTATTCACACTTAAACTTCTCATGATTTTAGTTGGCTATGATGCCTATTAATTAACTGACAATGTACTTCTATCAATGAACTTCTAAAAGTTTGAACTGCTCAGTTCCAATATACATATTTGTTTTATTAGCATTTGAAAAATATGTTAATCGTAATCTTTGCCAATTTTTTACACATTTTAATATTTTTTTCTTATCTTCAAAGTACGTACTACCTACATTACCATACTACCTACCATAAGAAATACTTATATACTCGTAAAACAAGCAACTTCGAAAGATAAATTAGATAAAGAGGTCGGTTATACTTTTAAAAGTATGTTTTTGATAATTAAGTGTATCTTGATTTAAAAAAAGAACATTCTAGGTCAAAAATAAAACTTACGTGTAAGATACGTTTAAGTAGATATTATACATAGAGATACAGAGACATATAGATAGCAGAAGTACTAAAATAGCGACGTAACGGCGCGGCGTCTACCTGAGATGATCCAACTTTGTAGGTGATTCAACTTTACATTCCATACTAATTACTCAACTTTGTTTATAGAGTCACCTATCTGATAATATTCATTTGTTATGTACCTTATAAAGACAGATTTTAAACAAAATGAAAATTGGATGTTGGTCTTGTTCATAGTATATTGGCGAATCCAAAGACGGAAATTGCAATGCGGTTGTGTGCTTTGGTGGAATTCTGCCACAACAATCATCAATAATTCCCTTTTATTTTATTTCATTTAGTAAATATTAAGGTATGTTGTATTGTGTATG